CTGTTGACCTTTGTCTTTGAGAGCGGTAAGTAACAATCTCATTTCTTAGAAATGTAGGGGACAATGAACAGATATGGGTCACTGACATTTTTCTCTAATTTTAATACCAAACCATTTAATAATTTCTGAATTATCTGTATTTGCAATATCTTTGTATTTTACGTGTAATCATGAACATATCTTCAATTTGTTCAAGTAAATACAGGATAAATGGCTATCATATGATGATGCACACAAAAGATGGCAACAAGACATTATTATTTGTAAACAATCGTCGAAACGAACACGTGTCAGACATTTTCATATCAATCCAAATTTTGGATTATTTTCTACAGATTTTGCAACAAATACTGGATTTCCACCTATTTGTCTAACCAAATTTTTGTCTTGAACTAATATGTCCAAGAAACTTATTCAATAGACAATACAACACCATCATCCATATATTATTAATGTAATATAGCTATAATTTGAATGAAGAACACATTGAAAATATACACTTTATCGCTATTTGGAAATCTGTCCCGGTTGACCCGAGAATCTGCCCCGCTTGAACTATTGACGTCATACGACAATCACTTTTCCATTGTAGCGTCAGATATTTTGTATTATAACGTCGAAATTTTACAGGAACCTTTGTGATGTCCAGTAATGGCAAACAATTAGCGAGCAGGTGTGTTATTTCAACAAACATGTTCAATACTTTGTAAAACTAATCACTAATAAATGGACTTATTTTTTTGACAGTCACCATTACATATAAACACTGACAGCTGCAATTGTAGGTGAGGAACCCTTTCCCAATAGACCACTTTAGAGTTAACGATATGTTTGCTGGAAAATTTCGTCAATTATACACGCCTTCAAGACGTCATTTACTAGATAAAGGGGACCGCCTGTATCCCTGCACTATTAAAGTTCATCAAGTGTCTTCGTAATCGTCAAGATGAACAAGAAATAATAATGTTTGTTCCAAAAGGTCCTTGCAATAACATTTCTCTAATGACTGATGTGATGATTGGCAATTGTAAGAATTTAATTTGCGAAAATGATTCGTTCAATAAAGCATTTTTTTTTCAACCAATCGCTCAACATAGGAACAAAAGTGACGACGCCCTTAAACGCAAGAATGATGTTCACTTAAACCAAAGTTTTTGAAGGAAATGCAATTAACTTGAAAGTTGTCTATTTCTTTGGTCTTGCGCATGCTGCAACAAAGTCTCCAAAGCTTAACTAAGGTACAAAAAATGTATGCTGTTTTTTGCATAGCCAATGATGTTAACAATTTGTTAAAGATTATGATTACAAATTTTGACTCAAATATAATCTTTATTGACTATGACTGTCAGTTTTCCAACCCTCTGGCTTCCTCCACCTATGATATAAGTCCACATTACTGTTTGTTTACCTGTAGGTTATTTTAACAGGAAACACTTAGGGAAGTCAACGATACATGGTATATGCGTGTACTATAATGCAGCTGAAGGAGCATTTGAATACATGTATCTCATTCTTTTGATATTAAGGGGCCTGCCCCCAAAAAATATTGGTTAGTTTATATTACAGAACTCCATATCTAGATAAGATGCGTATTTGTGTGATCATGCAATGAAAACAATTGAAAACCCAATGCAATTGACTATTGCAACGTTCAAAAACACAATTCATACTAAGGAAAACCCAATTATCTATGAAACCCATGGGTTCTCAACCCTTCTAATCGTTTTCCTGTGCATTATTTACCCTTACCTATTCATTATCTTCATGTAAATCTATTTTTGTAATATTAATTATCTGCTCTTTGGTCGTGTTGTTGTCTCTTTGACATAACCCCCATTTCCATTCTCAATTTTACTTTTTACAGAGTTTGTCTTTAGTGCCGTGTGGAAACAGTAAAGTGCCTACCTGTGCTTCAGGTTTATGCTCTTATATCATATTAGATAATGGAGTGTGTGTTTCGACTCCATTTGACTAATCAATGGTGCAACAATAAAATCAGTTGTTACAGTGAAACATCAAATCAAATATATAGTTGAATAGCATTGGAAACCAAAAGTTACAATAAGGAACAATCAATGCCAAGATAAAAAGACGCTGCTATTTTCAGTGTTTGGTACAGGTTGGCTGTCACTGTGTACAACATAGAACCCTATGGTGAAAACCCAGATAACTTTTTTGTCAGAAAACACTGTCAAACATCCAAACATACTATCCACACAGATATGTGTCCACACTTGTAAACTTTATAAGATATATCGTATAGTTTATAAGATATCTTATATAGTTTACAAGATATCTTATATAGTTTATAAGATATCTCATATAATTTATAAGATATCTCATATAATTTTCTTTATAAGATATCTAGTATGAAATATCTTATATATTATATATGAGATATCTTGATTCGAACGAAAAATATTCTGAAACAGACATTATCAAGATTCTTCAGTTTTTTATTCATTTTTTCTGCAGACAATCGGCATTCCTATGCGAACTATCTGTGTTCCTCATTTGTCGACCTTTACTTTACCTTTACTTTATTCATTTAAGACAGACGACATACGGGACCTTTTAAAGAAGAATGAAAAGGAGCTACCATATCCTTTAACTTCACGTATCGCTAAGTATATGATGTTCTCTCACTACAAATGAGCCAATGAGAAAACTCTACAACCAGAAACCACAAATGACGTAGAAGTTAACAACTATAGGTTACCGCACGGCTGCTACTTCGTATCAGAAATTGACAATGAGGATCGGTTGAGAAATAAGCTTTACGACATTACTATTTAGCAACATTTCAGAAACGCGTTCATATGGATATATATATCTCCCAGTTGATACGACATTCCAGAGCTTACGTATCCTATCATGATTTCTCTTTGATAGAAGATTACTGCTTACAAATTGGTTCCATATGGTAAAGTTGAAGTCATCCCTTCGAAAGTTCACAGACGCCATCATGATTTGATTGACCGTTATGGAATATAAGTGTCACAGACCCTCCGCTTTTGTAACATCATCGAATGCGACTTACTAGTATTACCAAATGTTTACTTGCCTTGAGCAACACGTCGGGTGCCACCAGTGGAACCGGATCTGCTTACCAATTAGGAGGACCAGACATCAATTCGCTAATTTATATAATAGTATAACCCTGCAGCAAATTAAATGTTCCTGTTTCAAGTCATGATGTATTGGGTGTTGTTAGTTGACCTTTGATTGTTTCTGTTTAATTCATCCACACTTTTTAGAGAAACGTGACGAATAAGAACTTGACAGAAACGCCTGTCTATTGTTGAAGACTGTATGTAATACACCGAATGTCTTCTAGATATCACTCGCTTGTCATCCGTGCGCTCCACAGAGGGCCAAATAGTAAACAATCATATCAACACTACAACTCAGATTGATGCCTCTTTGAACATTTGAAGGTCCTTTCTATGTATTGGCTACCTAAACTACTAAAAAAATACGTCAAATATCGTTTCATATTGGCCTATAGTATGTGTTCTACGTCAAGTCTTTCAATGCCTTTATTTCCCCCTTTTTTACTACTACCAATGTATTTATCATTAATTTTTGTGATAAAGCATATGAAAACAATGGTATTAACTATTTCTGGAGTGTAAACGAATCTTTAGATGTTTCAGATAAATTACTGAATACTTTTATGATCCTTTTAATTCGGTTGTCAGTTTTGACTTTTCGACTCTCTACACTATACTTCCAAAAAATCTTATTAAACACACGTTTTCCTAGTTATTAAATGGTCCTTTGAAAAATATGATTGCAAATTTATTTGCTGCAAATCTTATAGAGCTTTCGTCTGAAATGATAAAGGGAAATATGCTAGATGTGATTACTGGAAGTGTGATGAGATGATGGAAGCTGTAAATTTTCTTCTTGACAACGTCTATGTGTGTTCCGGTAATACATTGTATCGACTGGTGGTAGGTACTCCGAAAACATCCGTCTACATTTAATTTGATTGATAAATTCAACAACACCCATCGTTAAAATGATGACATTTTTTGTTAGATAACCAATAATTCTCTAAATATAATGCCGAAATTAACTCAATGGAAAATTCAGCAATAATTTCCATTTCCTAGAATAAGATATTTCAATTTCATACTGGAAATTCTATACTTACTAGAGGCTCAAAAGAGTTTGTTTCGCTCACCTGCATCTTCAACAATGGCCACTTTTTAGTAAAAATCATCATTAAATGGGGAAAAACTCTAAAAAGAGTTAACTAACAATTTCATTCATGTTTGATATATTTGTAGATCTTATCCTGCTGATAATTTTCTTTTTTAAGGTTTCTTGTTATCTAAATATAGTTTTCATGATAATAGGCAAAAAATGCATAAAAATGTTAAAAATTATCATTTAAGACCAATAACTCAAATAACTTCAACAAGGAGTCGACTAACGATTTCGGTTATTTGACTTATTTGTAGATCTTGTCTAGATAATTTTTTGCAATTTAAAGTTTCTATATATCTATTATACTTTTTAAGATATTAGGCAAAAAACGGAAGAAATTGGTTAATAAAATCTTTATTAATTCGTTTTAAAAAAATATCTGTTAATTGTCAATTTGAATTCATTATTTATCATATTTTTCTATTAAAATCTCATTGTATTTAACCAAAAGTCATTATTGAATTAGATTAAATCAACAATCGGTGAAATTTGATTATTCCAAACTTCAACAGCATACAGATACATCTATACAGATACATGTCTATACAAAATGTCAAGCTCTAAAAATGTCTTTCACTCAATCAATCATTTATACAGTGAAAAATAATAATAGTACTTTGTTTTAGCTGACATTATAGACAGTCGAGTTGACTTTATAGACGGTCTGAATTTACTTATTGGACGATCCGGGTTACCTTCATAGACCGAGTTGTCTTTTTTGTAGACGGTCCGAGTTGTCATCGGGCCGAGTTAGCTCGCATCCTGTATGGGTCGAGAAAAAAAGAACAAACATTTTGACGACTTGACAATCAAGTTCATTTTTTTCAAGGTTGCGAAAATCAAAATGTTCGCACGTGGGGGTGTTTGTAAACTCATAGGAACATTATATCAAAGCAGTGCTTCATGTATTGTCATCAGATATCCAAGGTAAAGACGAAATTAATTCATGTCATTTTTTGATTGATCGAACCAAGACAACAAAGTTATGTAACACGGTACCGCCGGTGTCGCTGATTTCGTAATCTTTTTTCACGACATTTTGTCCTCTTACTTATAGTTACTTATAGTTACTTATAGTTGATTTCCAGTACAGGACCCCTCAAGGTTCCTCTTCACCAGACTCATAATTTAATGTTTTTCTATTACTGTTTTGTCCGTGACTTCCGGATATTTCTGCTCTGTAGTCATTATAGTATATCTCTTCGTCTGACCAAAATTTGTCTAATCGGTTTTTAAATGCATTTATTGATGGTGACTTTGTTATTTTATCTGGTAATTTGTTCCAGGTTTTAGCAATTCTAACAGAGAAAGAGTGTTTACGGATATTTGTTTTGAATCTTTGATGAATGACTTTATTACTGTTGGTCCTGCTACTGAATCTTTGTTGAGAATCATCTGCCGTTCTTAAAAATGAGCTTACTTCTTTGTCGTAGTATCCATTCATTGTTTTGAAAGTTTCAATCATATCCCCTCTTATTCTCCTATAGGATAATGTTGGTAAGCCTAGTTTTTTAAGTCGCTCTGGGTAGCTCATGTCTTTGAGACCTGGTAATTGTTTTGTTACCCTTCTTTGGACACCTTCTATTTTGTCGATATCTTTTTTCCTGTATGGGGACCAGACTGAGCTGGCATAATCTAGGTGGGTTCTAACCATGGTTTTGTACAATGGCATGAATGTCTCAATTCCCAAGTACTTAAATGTTCTTCTAAGAACTGCAAATATAGAGTTGGCCTTGTTCACTTTTTCACTTATGTGATTTTCAAAGGTGAGTTCTGAGTCAATAAGGACTCCTATATCTTTTTCCTCTGTAACTTGTGCTATTGGATGGTTTAGAAGACTATAATTTGATGGTTGGTCAGTGCTATTAGATTTCTTACATATTTTCATATATTTACATTTTTCCGGGTGAAATTTGAGTAGCCATTTGTCACTCCAGGATTCCATCTTGTTAAGGTCTTCTTGTAGAATTTGTCTGTCTTTCTGGGTTTTTATTATTCTAAAGATCTTGGTATCATCCGCAAATAGGTATGCATCAGAATCCACTTGGTCTGAAAGATCATTTATATATAGAACAAATAGTAATGGTCCTAGTACTGATCCTTGGGGTATCCCAGATGTAACGTTAGCCCAGTCTGATTCTTCACCATTCACTATGACCTTTTGTTTCCTATCTTTTAAGAAGCTTGTTATCCACCCTACTATATCTTCACTGACACCTAGATTTTTGATTTTGGCTATTAATCTTTTATGAGGTACCTTATCAAAGGCCTTCATAAAATCAGTATATATGCAGTCTATGTCTAAACCTTGATCTAATGCCTCTGTCCACTTATCAATCACTTCTAATAATTGAAGACCAGTTGACCTCCCTGCAATAAATCCGTATTGCTTTTTAGAGAATAAGTTGTTCTTTTTCATATGCTCTATAATAAATTCACGCAATATCTTCTCCATTATTTTGCATACTACAGATGTCAAACTGACTGGTCTATAATTTTTGGCTAGTGACTTATTACCCTTTTTAAATATAGCACTTATCATAGCATTTTTCCAATCGTTAGGTACTGTCTTACTTTCAAGTGATTGATTATATATTATAAATAAAGGATTTGCTAATGATTCAGCGATCTCTTTTAGCAGCCTAGGGTGTAGTTTGTCCATACCTGGAGATTTATCTATTTTCAATGCATTTAAGTGTTTCAGCACTACTTCTTCCTTTATTTTCTGATTTGACATTACATTAGTTACTAATACCGGCGTTGGTGATGGCACTACTCCGTCAGGTTCCTTGGTGAATACGCTGGAAAAGTATTCTACTAGTAATTTGGCCTTCTTGCTATTATCCTCCGTTTTATCTGATTTTGTGTCTTCTGGATCCAGGTGTAAATCCCCAATTCCTTCTTTGGTTTTAGTTTTTGACTTGATATAACTCCAGATAGCTTTTGGGTTTTCTTTAGCTTTTTCAGACAGATTTTTCTCATATTCCCTCTTCAACTTGTTTACTCTACTTTTTACTTGATTCCTTATCTTATTGTATTCTTTCCTCACATCTGGGTCGTTATTATGCGTTATCTTTTTTGAGAGGATGTTTTTCCTTTTAATTTTATCTATGGTGTTTTTATCCATTGGAAAATTGTTTTTCCCTCTACCGATTTGTTTCCTTTCTTTTGTTGGTATATATTTTTTGTCCATATCTTGAATTATACTTAAAACTGATCTCCAATTTTCGTTTATATCATTTTCTTTCTGTAGTAATTCTGACCATTTAATGTTATCTAGTTCTTCTTTTATTTTTATGTAGTTTCCTCTATTAAATAATTTAATTATTTTTGGTTTACTTTTAATATTTGTATAGCAACTAAAGTCAAATTTCATAGTGCAGTGATCGCTTTTTCCCAGTGGACTTTGGTATTCTAAATTTGAGATCATATTTTCCTCATTTGTTAAAATCAGGTCTAGGGTATGGGGTGTATTTGTACCCCTCCATCGTGTTGGTCTTGTAACATGTTGAAATAAGAAGTTTTCTTGTAGATTCTCTAAAAATTTGTATTCATTACTTTCTGTACTTTCACCTGGTGAATTCCAACTGTCCCAGTTTATTTCTGGAAAATTATAATCTCCCATTAATAGGATATGTGAGTAGCCTTTACTACAAGCTTCAGTGGTAAGCGTATTTAATTGTTTAGTGTATTCCTGTGATCTGTTTGATGGTGTTCTGTATATTAGGCCTAATAATAGCTGGTCTGACTGGTTTAAATTAATCTTAATAAATAATTTTTCTTGGAATTCTGTATTCATTTGGACCTGTGATGCGTCCAGTTGTTTATCTATGTACAATAAAAGAACTCTGCCTGTGTCAACGTCTAGGTTTTTACCAAACATGTTGTAATCGGATACATCGGCTAAAGAATATTCTGAAATTCCTGGTTTGTACCGATTATTTTTAGGTTTAACCTCTGTAATACCAATTATTTTTGGTTTATCGTCTCTTGTTCTTACTGTTAATTCAGGCAGCTTGTTGAATAACTGATCTGCATTTGTGTATATACAGCTTAATTTGGGTAAAACTGTAAAATTATCTGTTTTTACATTTTTAAAAACCTTTTTACCATTAAAATTATTTACATTCTCTTTTCCTCTTTTATCTTTTAGGAGTCTAGCTTCCTTAATTTGACAACCTTCCTTGCCCAAGGTGGGCCCCTTACTTTGAAATGGTAGTCCCCCGAAATCTCTTCTTCGGTTTGTCTTCTCACTTGATCCCACAATCTTTTCTCTTGCTCTCTTTCTGCTTGGGTTAGGTCATTACTGACTCCCACTTTTTCGTATTTTGGGTTTGTTTTTATATAATGGATGTTTCTAAATAGGGTGATCTTAGGTTCTGCACTAGGTAATTTTACTAGGATTGGTCTATTTAGCTTTTCTTTGTTAAATTTCCCAAGTCTTTTGACCATTTTCAAATTTTCCTTATCCAGTTTTATTTTGCAGTCTGTAAAGAGCTCGTTTAGTTTTTCTTTGTCAGTATTATCTCTTACTTCTTTGCTCTCGTCATCTATTTCAGGGATCCCAAAGACGATCAGGTTATTTTCTCTTGCCTTTCTCTCATTAATTTCTTCAAGAACATTTGTTACAGTCTCCTTTCTTGTTATAGGATTGGCTGCTATATCTATCTCATTGTTTGTGGAATCGCTATCTCCTTTATTCTCGGGCTTTTGTATCTTGCTTATTTCTTCTGTTATTATGGCTTTAACTTTTTCCTCATTACAACTTTCTTCTATGATTGGTGCCTCTATTTTGCCAACTTCCTCTTGTACCATCAATTTTACCATATCGTCATTGCAGTTTTTTATTTCCTCTCTAACAATCTCCTTGACTTTATCCTCGTCACATTTATTTTCAACTGTTTTTTCAAGTAATGTAATTCTTTCCTCATAACTCTCCATTATCTGGTTGCACCTTCTTTCTATTTCAATATCGGTGACTGCATGTTGTTCCATGACTATTCTGCATTTCCCACAAAACCACATTGCATCTGTTTTACATAGCATGCTGTATTCCGCTTTTGTTTTCTCTAGACAGGTTATGCAGAAATGTTCCTTACACCTTTGGCATTCCATAAGTTGAGCCTCTGGCTCCCTGAAGATTTTGGTACATTTTGCGCATGTCCACGCTTCATCCTCATCTTGACTTGTTGTTTGTGACGATTTGGGGCCTGTGGTACTGTTTTTTCTGGTTGACACCATACTTCTTACTTAATAAAAATAGGGCTTCCCTATTTTTTATTTTTTTTTAATTATTATTATTTTTTTTTTTTTTTTTTTTTTTTACCTGGCTGAGGAATTGTATAAGGCTTCCTTACACCAATTTATTTTGTAGTACTTTATTTTATTTTACTTTTATTTAAAGGACAAGGCTACCCTATCCTTGTCTAAAGTTCGATTTCAAATGAAGCTAGACTATCCTAATTTTGACAGGGCTTCCCTATCACGTGTTTAATTTATTTTGGGACAAGGCTTCCCCATCCGTTTGACATAAACTGCACTCTCAAATGATAGAAATAGGGCTTCCCTGTTTCCTCAATAACTATCTCTCTTTACTTATTTTTCAGGACAAGGATTCCTTATCCCCCTAAAAATTTTTAGCACTGACCTTTTTAATAAAAACAAGGCTTCCTTTGTTTTTATTTCTCCTTGTTGTATATATTCCTTTCCCTTACTCAGAAGACAAGGCTTCCTTGTTTTCTGTTCACGTTTTAAATAAAACTAGGCTTACCTCTACGTAATAGGGCTTCCCTAGCCTATTACTTTAAAAATTTTTTTAATTTTTTTTTTTTTTAATTATTATTTCTCTGTTAGAATATGCTTTTTTGCTTTAAATTTAAAAAAAAAAATTTGACCTGAGAAAAAACATGTTCTTAGGTATAAACTGTAGTAATTAAACGAGTAGTCACAACTTTAACTGATGCATTTTACTTAAACTCTATTATAATCTAGTATGGTTTAGTTTCCTGATCCGAAGGCTACATGTGTAAGGTCAAAATTGACAAATGTTCTCTCTGTACTATTTTGTGTAAGTGGTGACAATATTGATCATATATCTGTTTGGATGGTCTGTATTTACATTTGTCTTAGCATGTCTTCTCTTTCCTGTTGGTGTTTGGCAGTATAGTAAGAAATGTTCTGTTGTTTCTTCTTCACTGTAATCACAATATGGCGTGAGGGATTGAATTATTTTGTTTCAGTATCTATTCAATCTGCTGTAACCTGTTCTCAGTTCTGACAATATTCTTCCTATTTGGGAGTTTGGTGTGTCAAGTTGTACATCTCTCCCAACAATAGGTACTAAATCGAAAAATTGTTTCATAGTTTCACTGATTGACCATCTACTTTAATTTGCCATTTCAATTTTGTAGACATTTTGACTGCACTTCCAACATCTGACATTGTTATCACATTGAATTGATCGTTTTTTGAATTTTACAATGTACTTAAATCTTCTAGTATATAAACATGACTTGTAAAAGTATTACCCCTAACTGTTATACAGTAGTGTCTGGTAATTCCACCTGTTCGGTAAACCCGCCCACTCCCATTTACTTCCGTAAAATTGTCACTTCCGTGAATATTTGGGCTGCTATTTTATTCATAGAAATTGTACTTATCATCACTGCATGTCAAATTTTAAAGAAAAATCCTTTATTACGAAAATATCTAGTGATATATATAATGCAGTTCCTAAACGATAATCATATTATTGCTTACAAAACTCACTTCTGACTTGAAATTTTTTTTTTTTTTCGATTGTCTGGAATCTCTGTTATAAGTGGTCTATTAATAGATCTCCTTTTGCTTTCATAAATATGTGATAAACTGGCCCTCCATACATATTTTACTGCACATGGGCGGATTTACCAGACAAACACATTGCCGATAAAAAAACAGATGACCCACTTGTTTTGTTGATTTTAAAATTTATTTCAGATATTTTTGGGGAAATGAGATTAACTACTCAAAATTGATTAGTCAGTGAAACGATTTATATTAAATTTAATACAATTTGTATATAATTAATCAGAAATACATACAATCAAAGCCTTAAATGCCTTATGAGGGTTGATTTACCAGACTGCATCATACATGTAGCACATTTTTACAATGCAATAAATATGTCAAGGAAGCCAATTAATCATCAAATGATTGCAAACCAAATGCCAAATATCAAAGTATTAAAATTAGCAGTTGTTCGAGGTCCCTGACCTTCTATTTTTGAGTTTGGACTTTTTCCTCTGGAATTGGCTACACCTGACAGACTTGTTTTTTGCTTGTTGAAGATGTTCAACAAATAATTAAGTCTGCCATATTGTTATACTAAGAACTTGCATACAAGACACACAATTCAAATACCAAAAAGTTAAATTGTACTTTTATTGAGTAAAAATGACTAATATCTCAAAATTATAGACGTCATTATCTAGCAAAGCAGTATAACTCCATATTAAATAGAGGTTTCAGGTAATCTCTATCGGTTCTCGGGATCATATTGAGTTTTGGGGAGTTTTCTGGAATTCGTTTTACGTTTTAATTAGGCTGAAATTAATTGTATTCCCAGACAAAAACTTGTGTTTGTATCTATCATTGTAAATGAAAAAGCTTTGACACAAATATACATGTATAGTCAATATCCAATAATTGATGTTATGATATAATTTTGTAAAACATTTTGTTTTGTAGAAATGCTGGTAGATATATATTGAGGAACTGTTCCGTCTCAACCAAATTTGCAGATGTTGATGAGGACAATGACAATACAGTTAATAGACTGAGTGAAACCAAAAACAGTTCAGATAGTGGTATAGCTGGCAAATTAAAACAACTTAAAATTGAAAAAATAAATTCAGATTCAACAAATGAGAATTATTTTTCAAGGAATAAAAGTGACTTTGAAAACAGATATAGTAGTAATAATTTTGAGGATGAATTAAATCAAGACAATGATATTGAAGGTTATTCAAATAACAGTTTTCAACAAAAAAGAACATTCAATAGAAGACCTCAGTTTAATAGAAATAGGTCTGAAAATTGGGACGAAAATTGGGAAGATGAGGATAGTTTTAAAAGTAGTAGACCATTCAATAGAGGATCTCAGTTCAATAAATCTAGAGGTGGAGACTTTCAAAGGAATTTTAATAGTAGCTTTCAAAATAGATATGAAGACAGAGGTTTCCAAAAGGGAAGATTTAGCAATGATTATGGAAGAGACAATTTTGCATCTAGAAAAAGGGAACAAAGAAAACCAGAATATAAAGAATTTCAAAAAGATTTCTACAAAGAAAATGAAAGTGTTCATAATAGATCTAATGTAAGTCACTTACACTATTTTTTTAGTATACATGTACATGTAGGATAAATTTTTTTTGATCTATAAAACCATTTATTTTGGACATGTCTGTCTGATAGCTAGGATTCACCTGATCATGACCTAATTTTTGTGGTTGGGTAACCAATGTTAAGTATTGGTGTTTACCGGTAGATTAGTTTCTCTGAAAATATATCATAAGTGAATCTGTGATAGGTAAACTATAGTTGGTCTTTACTCATTGCAAGGTAATCATTATCTTTTTGAAAGGAGACAGCTGATATAGACCATGCACGTTTGCGGATCTGCAATTCAAATCTAACTTATTGACAGACTCTAATTTACTTATTTAGTCAGAGCTAATGTCTATCATGTCTATAGTGAGACAGTAAACAATTGCAATATCACTTAAAAGTTTGATACATGTAGGTACATGTACTAAGACCTTGACAGACTACAGGAATGAATTTTATTTTTACAGGACCTACATGTAGCTTTACCAGACCGAATGAAATTTAACCAGACCATTTTTTTTACATCTTATTTCTCATCTCCAAAATGCTGAAAAACAAAATCATGTGACAAGAGTGTATATTTTGATGAAAGTTGTGCACAATTGATTGAATGCATTTCAGTGATAAAGAAAAGTAATGTCACATGACATGAAAATTATTTGTGAACTAAAAATAATTTAGAGTTTCTGTATATTTCCTGTTTCTTCTTTCTTTTTCATATATCTTTTGGTTTAAAATTCTAGTAGATATAAGAAGATGTGGTATGTTTATACAGTGTTTATATTTCATAGCTGTATTTTGTGACCTGCTAAGATTTATTAAATTTATTTATTGTACATTTGTATTTGATTGGCAAACCCGGATTAAGCCTTATCTGTTCCCAGAATATGATCCGGTATTGTCTACATTTCCGGTTGATTGCAGCCATTGTCTGTTGTTTTTGTCAGTCAGATATGTTTTTCCTCGGATTTACACATTACTTGTTGGCGATTTTCGGCATAAAGCTAGCGGTTGAACAAAATAAACATCGCTGTCATGAATAATAAAGAAGAAAATTAATTTTGAGATTGATTGGGAATTTTGTTAGAATGCTAGAAAAATCCATGAAAAAAACAATACCGGACATTCGGACTGGAATTCAACAAAATTTTACCAGACCGATCCATTATTCACCGGATTTGTCCGATGGTCCAATGAATTTCGTGTAGTCTGCCATGATCTATAACCTTCAACATATAATTCAGTCATAATCAATTATGGAGTCCAGACAACTCAGCTTGTCTACTCTTGTTAAATATGTAGAACACCTCCCTTTCAACTGTGAAAATTTAGTTTACTTATTTAAATAAATGACATCATATTGACAAAATTGTGAATTAACATTTTTTGTTCATAAATGTTTTGCAGGAAGAAGTTAAAGCATTTTATGAAAAGCATCAGATAACATTATCTAATACAGATTTACGTCCATTGGAAACATTTGAAGAAGCAGGATTTCCAGGTATTATAACAATTCATGATATTCCTCTGTTGCTGCGATTTGTTTTTTTGTTTGTGCTAAGGCAGCTTAAAGCAAACACCAATCAATTAATTATTATTATACCCCCGCTTTAAAAAAGTGGGGGTATACTGTTTTACCTCTGTCTGTCTGTCCGTCCGTCCGTCCCATGAATATTTTTCGTCGCATCTTTCTCAGGAACTACATTATAAGGATTTCTGAAATTTGGTTTCAGGGTTTATATAAGTCAGCTTTACCGTGTGATGCGTTTTCAGATTCATTACTCAACAACTTCCTGTTTACCGAACACTTGTATCATTTTACATATGATAGCGAAGTTGAAAACTTTGTCACATTTTTCTCAGGAACTAAAATACAAGGATTTCTGAAATTTGGTTTCAGGGTTTATATACCGTGTGCTGTGTTTTCAGATTCATCACTCAACAACTTCCTGTTTACCGAAATATTTTGGTGGGGGTATCATCAGTGAGCAGTAGCTCGCAGTTTCACTTGTTATACCTCTGGAAAGATCACACTGCAAATCCAATGTAACATAGAATTTTTTCAGCTACATGTACAAATTCCTAGCTGACTTTTTGCAGTATGACTTTTTTAAAAAAATCTTTGCAAGCTAAATGACAGAAAAAAATCAGTGAAAATTCCTTTTCATACAGTAAAACTTCTTCAGAGAAACATTTCATATGTCGGTTACAGGCCATAATCTTGCCGGCAAAATGATGATTTAAGTCGCCAAAGAATTTTGAAAATCGCTAAATCTCGCCGGCCGACTGACTTCATAGCGAAGTCAAATCGCTATCAAAATCGGTAAAAGGGAGACAACTTGTGATTGACAAGTCTCACAGGTAAAAAAAAAATGGCGGATGACAAGGAAAATCGAGATTTTCGAAACGACCCAGGACTTATACTGTAAACGATCAAATTAAATAAATACAACGGCGACTTTGAACATCCTCGGATATAACTTTCAAAACTGTTCAAACGGAAAACTGACCGTCTGTTTAAGTTATCGTTTTACGATGATTTTCATCTGAGGATGTTGCTTAATCACTCAGCTGATTTGTTTTATTTTTATTACCTACACGAGTTGATCAATTTTACTATTCGGTAGGTAAAGGGTGGGAATTAACGGTAGATTTATTATATTCATTGAATAAAAATTGAAATATAAAAGGTAGAAAGACAGCTGATGGATAATGTGATTGCAAACGTACGACACTCGACCAGATTGTGATCAGCAGTGGATTTTTTCTCATGACCACTTCGTTGATATGGATGATATTTTTAAAAAATGATAGAAATTAGCTCTTTATCTGATAATTAACTTGAGATTGAAAGATATTTTCATTTATAGACTTACAATCTTTAACGATAATCTCAATTTACTACAACTAACATAAATGTCCTGGACATTCAATAATGTTTTACAAAACAATGACAAGTGGTGATATAAATTAAATTCCCATTCATGTGAAATTCATCATATTTTTCTGGAGTTTTAAAAATAAATTGAGGCAGATGCACATGAATTTAATGCATCATAATCTTGATAATATTACTAGGCTACTCCCTCATGTCCCAACCAACAAATTTTATTTCGAACACATTATGGTATCAATAAATAAATAACAACTATATATTGTCTAAACCTTTTTATTAAGAACTTTCTATATATACATTGTGTACAATAACATATGAAAAAACTGCAAGTACATCTTTTATTGAATATAAAACAATTTCCTTAGTGATAAGCTTAAAAACACGATGCAACCGAAACAGTAATGGAATCTCACTTCTCCAAGAAGTTGACCACTTCTCCCTTCTCTCTCATGGAAGGAGAAGTCACTTCTCCCTCTTCAAAATCCTAGATTAGGCCCTGGTCGGTTACAGTCAATAGATATAAGAAGATGTGGTAGGAGTGCCAATGAGACAACTCTCCATCCAAGTCAAAATTTATAAAAGTAAACCATTATAGGTCAAAGTACGGCCTTCAACACGGAGCCTTGGCTCACACCGAACAGCAAGCTATAAAGGGCCCCAAAAATTACTAGTGTAAAACCATTCAAATGCCCATTAAAAATACAATATAAGTAAATGTTAATCGAATTGTTATTTTATAGATCAATATACATGTTAAACCTACTTGTATACTACAAATTATTGAGAACCTTTTTGGACAAATATGAATTTGCATGATTTGTTTTATACATTTAATGATCTTGTTTTTGATAGACATCATCAACAGAAAATTACAGGAAGAAGCTTTTACATCACCAACAGCAATACAGTCTGTAACCTGGCCCCTGGCATTGTCTGGGAAAGATGTTATAGGCATAGCTCAAACAGGATCAGGGAAAACATTAGGAGTAAGTCTTATGGTAGTTTAAAAAATGTAGAAAAAACTAAATTATATTTTTAATCTGCTGTAATAGATTTTTACTAAAATTAGCAAACTTAAATACAGAAATGCAGTTCTTCAATTGATTTTCATTTTATATGAAAAGTTTATTATTATCTTATCATACGATAATATTCTTTATCCCCCAAAAAAGGGGAAACTTGATTTAAGTGGAAAAAATTGAAGAATTTCACATAAATATGCATAATCACTATTACATAACAGCAATTCGTCCTGATGGCTTTTTGTCAGGCTCCCAACATACACTCTTTAAAAACGATTTTAATATGATAAGAAAAATATTTGTGTTACATACTATCTGTTTTAGTTTATTCCTCTCAGCCACTGTAATGAGTGAAAATAAGCTCACTTACAGTGGTTCATTAATAACAAATATTTTACACTTGAATACAATATTATGCAATCTGGAATATCTTATGCTGGTAATTTACATGACCTTCTTAGAAGATCTCCCAAAAAACATACTGAAGAATGATATTTGGTCACAACTTAATTTCAGACAAACTATAACAAATATAAAATTTAGCACAACTCATACACGTATATACAATTAGTCATGATAGTGTAGGATTCATAATACAGTATTGAAGCAGTAAATACTTTCGTCAATGGAGGACAGTTGTATCCAGATTGGTATCAAGACAATATCCACCAAAGACTTAAAAGACGAGAGAAGCTGTGTAAAAAAACACATATTCGATATGATATCATGTTTAACTCTGTTTTCAGTTTATGTTGCCAGCATTTGTTCATATACAGAACCAAGAAAAATTACAGCGAGGAGATGGACCAATAGTAAGTGTTGATTTTTTTATATCATGAAATTAAGTGCTAATTTATTACAATACTTGAAAGATATACCTATTGGGGGATGGGGGACATTAATTGTTTTAGCCATAAGGTTAGGGGCTAGACAAGTGTATAACCTTTATCATTTAGCTGTAAGGTTAGGGTCTAGACAAGTGTACAGCCTTTATCATTTAGCTGTAAGGTTAGGGTCTAGACAAGTGTATAGCCTTTATTATTTAGCTGTAAGGTTAGAGATTTGACAAGTTATTGAACTGCCAAGACCTGATTCATTATCAATAAGATAAGTGAGTATTGTAAATATTAGTGTAGGATATTTATTTAAATACAAATATTATAAATTGCACATTTCCTCCCAAGTTTAAAAGCAGAAAAAACGATATCAAACTTCTTAAAGCCTCAAGTAAATCATAAGGGATATACACTTGTTTAGACCCTAAACTTATGACTAAAACAATTAATATTCCCCCATAGATATATCTTACAACAATTTTTATTCACGTAAGTGCATAAATTTTCAGCAAATAGTCCGGTAAAAAAAGAAATTTGAAAATAGTTAATTAATTGTTCTAATGTGATTTTTGAAATTTGAATTATGGTACATACAGGCTATTTTTGTAGATATTCAATTAGTGTTATTTGCCCTGAATAGTACAAATAATTGTCAGCTAGTACATTTATATCAATATATGTTGATAAATGTAAATATTCGATTACCCTAATTTTCTCCATTGCCTTCATTGTAGTGTCTAGTGTTAGTACCAACAAGAGAGTTATGTCAACAAGTACAGGAAGTAGCTGATCGGTTTGGATATCCAATGAGAATGAGGAGTGCAGCAATATATGGTGGTGCTAATAGGTATCCACAGTTACAGAAACTGTCAAGAGGTACAACAAAATATGGAGAAATGAAACTTTTGTTAAAAAAAAATAAAATTTAAAGGTCAAATTCACAAATAAAAAGAAATAACTATTTACTTTTCATTTGAGCTGTTTTCTGTAATATTATTGTATAATTCCATTAACTATAATTAATGCAAGATGTAAGTTAGTCAAAACAAAAATTGAAACAGTCTAATTACTAGGAAACAAACATTAAATGTTTTCAAAGTTGTGGAGTGATAAGGAATTTTTAAAGGAAGATTTGGTAAAAACTAAGCAATTAAATGGATACATTTTTATTTTATATTTTATCAAGCTCAGTGATTTTGTGGGCTAAATTGCAGGAGGTTTGATCCCCTACTGAATTTAAATTTGTTATTAGCTCCTTCTCTGCAAAGCATAATGCATTTAGAAGTAGGTGCAAAGACTGATTGGCACGCAGTCAGAAAGCTGTTTCTGAGTGGGGTGATGTGTCTTTTTGTAGACCTTGTGAGGAAGCTTGTTAAATAACTGACTCAGGATGTCAATCTAGTACAAAGCAGGATATGTTCATTTCTCATTAACATGTGTTTGGCTTTAATATGCATGTAATATTTACATCTGGACATTAAGCAGTCATAAATCAAAGAATTGATTCAAAGTCTGCTGTATTGGTCCCGAGGGCCGTTTGGCCAAGGGTAATACAGCTGACCGAGACTCAATACAGGGTCAATACAGAATCAGCAAGTGCATAACACTTTTATCAAATAATCAAAACAGTCCATATGGCTGGTCCGTATGGCCAGTCTGTATGACAGGAAGTAGATACAGCTGGTCCGTATAGAAAAACTTATTAACTGGATGAAACAGCCGTATTTAACGTATGGTTTATATGAGTTGATTTTTTGAATACCATATTAGTCATGATGATTTTAGCATATAAGGGCCAATTTAAACATATTATTTAATAATATTTCTTATTGATTTTGTCACTGTGAGGTTCATATAAGGGAGGATAAATACTATGATAACTGTGTTACCCTACATTGTTTTCAGAATGAAAAACTTACTTTTAATTTTATTGTTAGACAATTATGGTTATTGATTTTAATGTGTTCTAAATACTGTATATATTTTCCCTCAGGTGCTGAAGTGTGCATCGCCACCCCTGGAAGATTGAATGATTTTCTAAGTTCCGGTGAAACAAATCTAGATAGATGTACCTGCCTTGTTTTAGACGAGGCAGACAGAATGTTAGATATGGGATTTGAACCACAGATTAGACAAATTATAGAACAAATTAGGGTAAGTTGATTTAATAAATGTACAATTACTATGGGGGAAAGTACACAGTTTCAAAGAAAAACAATCTACCAGCGCACACAAAGTAGCTCAGTTGTACAATTGTCGTAAAATTCTATTTTCTACGACTTTTTTTTATGTTTGGTTGATTCAGAAGAAATGGTATATTGTTCAAAACTTGAATGATTTTACATCAGTTTTATATCAAAACTTGAACAGGTTTAACAAATGTTCTTGCAGCTGGTCAATTCAATTTGAATTTAATCTATTGCTATTTTAAACATTACCCTTGGGTATTGAAGTCAGTATTGCTCAGGTGAAGGAGCTTACTTCCAGTGACTTCACTTTTGGTTTACCTGAGTCCCATCTGAACAGATTTGGTTTAACTATCTGAGACATCTCTTCATAGAATTATAATGAAGTTGATCACTTAAAAGAAAATTAGCAAACACCTTTGTAAGTTAGACATATAAGAATACCACATTAAAGTTAGACTTAGGAGGATATGCAATATGAAACTACTCAGAGCTATATTTCAGGGCTTACACTACTTCAAAATCATAGGGAGAAGTGACTTCTCCTTTTGAAACTGGTAGGGAGAAGTGGTGAGATTTGAAAGAGAAGTGCTCGTTCGCTCACAGCGCTACAATGTTTGGTTTTTACTATAATATAAAGGGCCATATGTATCCTTTTTTTTATATATATATATGTGTTCAATTCATACCTGAGTCAATTAAAGTAACAGTTGTTTCAGTTTTTGTCTTAAATAGTCATTTATAGTTGCATAATTATATTAATCCTCTTGACAGAATCTACCAACTAAATATCTAGCACTTATAAGAACTTTAATATCAAAAAAGGAAAAGAAAGTATCATATACATGTATCAATAAAAATGCAATTAAAAAACTATTCTGTTTATCTTAATGAAATTCACTGTTTCTCATTAAAAAGATATATAGATTTAACAAAGTTAAGCTACTTTAATCAATAAATTGAAACAAAGCATTTACATGGAAATATATACATTTAGCAAGGAGATCTAACCAAAAGTCTATTAATGCGTGTGGAATGCGTAATTTTCACTTTTGGGGTCATTATTCTATTGTCAGCTGTTTAATTCAGGCGTCTGTAGTTATTATAGTAAGAATACAGATTTCGGTCATAGCTGGTCCACTTCCGATGAATCCCGCCTCCGATCCGTGGTTCGTACAAATATTTCAATAGAGGACGATGAAAATTTACGAAAAAATAAAGTTTGACAAGCAATTCGGAAAGGAATATGACGCTTTTAATGCAATCAATGGACCAATCATTAACTAAAGGCAATTTTGATCACTTTCTAATGAAGTAACAAACTTATTTTGCCGATAATCAGAACGTTTTGATATACGATCTCAAGTAACAAGTACCGGAAGTGAAGAGAATACTTCATAAAAGTTGTTTCTCTGAAATAACATACGATCAATCTGTAAATTCAATACTTTCACATCTTTTCTAATGAAATAAATCTTTCAAGTTTTTGAATTTATTCACTTTTAAATGAAAAATATTGCTGTTTCATTGACTTGATAAGAAGGGGAAATTACTGATGACAAAAGCGACTGCAAGCGACTATTGTGAACACCAGGGCGACTAGATATCGCTTTTGATGGTCGGGGAAAGCGAAGTGACGGACGGGAATGCGGCTTTTTCGCCCCAGTTGCCTGCTAGCGAGAGCCCTGTTTTTACACTAAATTAGTCATCTCTACAGAAATTTGTATTAAAACAATGAAAAGTTGGTTTCCAAAAAAGTCGTCTTAATAAGTATTTTTAGTAAAGTGTATTTATTTTCAGCCTGACAGACAAACACTAATGTGGAGTGCTACCTGGCCTGAAGAAGTACAAGAGTTAGCCAATGATTACCTGACAGATCATGTCAAGATAAATGTTGGATCAGTTGATTTAATTGCAAACAAAAATATAAAACAAGAAGTCGTTATTTGTAATTCACATGAAAAGCCTCAAGAGTAAGTTCTATTATTCTGTGAATTAATACCGGTACATCAGTTATAATTGCTACATTAGTGAAATATGACAAAAGGCATATTGCAGTATAGCATAATGATGTTTATTCATGAGAAAATATCTCTTGGTAATAATTCTTCATCAGACTTCATTTTCGGCAGAAAAATAATTTATCAGTCAACAGTTTCAATTACCGGTACTCATTCTCACTTTTTTCCATCTTATAATAATATAGTTTTACAATTTTAGGTGTAGAACTGTTATTCTGTTACCTCATTTTAATTTCCTTTCTCAAGTCATTTTCAAGTGGCAATTCAAATTGCTATATTTTTTTATCTCAAAATATGTATGAAACAGTTTACTTTGTGTATATATCCTCAATATGTTTTTATTTTTCTTTTCTTTAAGATTGGGAAAAATATTACAACAAATTATACAATCACCTAAAGATGAAAAAGTGTTGATATTTGCACAGACAAAAGTTATGTGTGAGAGAATAAGCCAAGAAATAAGAAGAAATGGGTAAGTTTACTCTTTTGATACCTCTGCTAGCTTATACTTTATATCACAAACAATAAGGTGATATCAGATTTGACGTCTTGATAATTATAGGTAGAAACAATTTAAATTTTATTTAGGGGCCAGCTGAGGACCACCTCCGGGTGTGGGATTTTCTCGCTGCGTTGAAGACCCATTGGTGGCCTTCGGCTGTTGTCTGCTCTTTGGTCGGGTTGTTGTCTCTTTGACATATCCCCATTTCCATTCTCAATTTTATTGAACATTAATTAAACAAACTATTCTGTGTTGTTGCATGAAAAAAATGTTTGTTTTGTTTGATTTGTCAGTAGGTTAAATAGGAGGTTAGCTCAAATCATTTTAATCAAAATTCACACTTTCTGTCTGTAATACATGAATTAATTGGTGATTCCATATACTTTGGATTCATGTTTATATGTTGTATACCAATTTTTGTGGATTTGGTGCGTTAAAGCTAACAATGAATTAAAGAATAATCCAAACACTTGAGTTTTAATTGTGTAAGGAATGAATGAATCATTAATACATTGAAGCCTTGTTTCATCTCTGATCAACTGTATGTTTCCAGTTGATGTTTGTTGTTTCTTGCCTTAGAGAACAAACTATTTGATGGAAATGGTGCATAAGAAGAAAAAGTCTTGCACTTTAAATTTTTTAAATGAGAAATGTGTATTTAAAAGCGATGGTTTATTTCCTGTAATGTGTTGACAAGCATTGCAAAATAAAGAGTTTTTGCAAATATAATTAAAAAAATATACATAATTTATTTACACTTATTCATATCCAAAAAAGAGGGACAGAAGATAACAAAGAGATATTCAAACTCATAAGTCAATGACAAACAAACAACATCATGGCAAAAAATGCAAAACGTCCAAAAGTCAAACATCAGTATACAAAACACAACATAAAAAAATAAAGACTGAGCAACTAAAAAACGGGGGTAATCTCTGGTGCTTCAGAAGTGTCATCTTTCAATCAGATGTAGAGATCACAGAGGTGACCATTTTTATTTTGTTTAAGATTGGATTTCCATTGACACAAATGTTTCTCTGGTGCAAACTAATAACAAAGTATCAATTAGATTTGATTATATCAGTATAATAAAATAAAAATGTTTTTAGGTTTAACCTTTGCCAATATTTTGATTGATTTCAATGATCTGAGTATGAAACAGCAAACAAACAATGTTTTGTTTTAAGCCTGATATAAATCATTGATAAAGAAATAATCCCTACTCCAACCCTGTCTGTTTGGTTAGAAAATCTTTGTTCCAACAGGCAGGGATATTTTGAAAAACCTTACTCATGTGCAATTAAAGCATAATATTTTATTTAAATGTTTCAGCATTCACAATGTTTGTATCCATGGTGATAAAAGTCAAAGACAAAGAGACCACTGCTTAGAAGGTAATTATAAAGCATTTAATCATTAAAGTCATATAATCTTTCCAAATGTGACAATAAAGAAGACTATGTTTTACATAAATGAATTTATATATACACTTTTTTTAAAAGAAAATCCCTGATACTGTATAAATCGGCAGGAAATTTACTGCTATTGAATTATTGTCTTCCAGTATTCAAATTCATCAACAGCTTATCTGCATGCAGCAACTTTAACATGACCCTTCTTGTTAGAAATTCACAATCACACTCCACTTGTGCAAAGGGAAAAACCATGATGGAAGAATAAGTGCACAAACGTAGGATTGGATAGTTGTCTCATTCGCAATCATACCACATCTCCTTATTTTATTTTTATACGACCGCAAAAAAATTTTTGTGGTCGTATATTGGTATGACGTTGGCGTCGTCGTCCTCCGACGTCGTCGTCGTCGTCCGGCGTCGTCCGAAGACACATTGGTTTTCGCACTCTAACTTTAGTTTAAGTGAATGGATCTTTATGAAATTTTACCACAAGGTTCAATACCACAAAAGGAAGGTTGGGATTGATTTTGGGGGTTATGGTAATAACAGTAAAGGAATTAGGGGCCAAAAAGGGGCCAAAAATAAGCATTTTTGTAACATCCAGACATAACTTGTGTGTTAGTATATGGATCTCTCTGACATTGTACCACAAGGTTCCATATCACTAAAGGAATGCTGGGATTGATTTTGGGGGTAATTGCCTCCAAATTTTAGGAATTAGGGGCCAAAAAAGGGGCAAAAAACAAGCATTTTTCTAGTTTCATGACAATAACTTGTGTGTAAGTGTATGGATCTTTCTGAAATTGTACTACAAGGTTCCATATCACAAAGGGAAAGCTGGGTTTGAGTTTGGGGGTAATTGCCCTAAACGTTTAGGAATTTGGGGCCAAAAAGGGGCCAAAAAACACATTTTTTTCTAGTTTCCAGACAATAACTTGTGTTCAAGTGTATGGATCTCTCTGAAATTGTACTGCAAGGTACCATACCACAAAGGGAAGGCTGGGATTGAGTTTGGGGGTGATGAATCATAATGGGGGTTCAAAAAATTTTGGGGGGGATTTATTTTTTTTTCCTTTTTTTTCTTTTTTTCCTTTTTTGTTCCTTTTAAAATTTTCCATTTTAAGTTGGTTATTTCTGATTTATATTTAAAATCAAATAATAATGATATGGTAGGAGATACACACCAAACAGGATGTGTAAATTATAATATAATAAGTATTGTGCAATAGCAAGAAATTTTCAATTGCACAGTATTGCACAATAGCAAGAAATCTTCAATTGCACAGTATTGCGCAATAGCAAGAAATCTTCAATTGCACAGTATTGCGCAATAGCAAGAAATATCCAATAGCACAATATTGCGCAATAGCAAGAAATTGTCAATTGTACAGTATTGCGCAATAGCAAGAAATATTTAATAGCACAGGATTGTGCAAAAGAAGATACTTCCTATAAATTGCTTATTTCTTGACCAATTTCAATGGGGTTTTATTCTTGATTTCATGGGGTTCTTTAATATGCTGAATCTAACCGTGTATTTAGTTTTTGGATTTTGGGCCCCGTTTTTAAATTGGTCCACATTGAGGTCCAAAGGGTCCAAAATTAAACTTTGTTTGATTTCATCAAAAATTGAATTATTGGGGTTCTTTGATATGCCGAATCTAACTGTGTATTTAGATTCTTAAATTTTGGTTCCGTTTTCAAATTGGTCTACATTAAGGTCCAAAGGGTCCAAAATTAAACTTAGTTTGATTTTAACAAAAATTGAATTCTTAGGGTTCTTTGATATGCTGAATCTAACCATGTATTTAGATTTTTGATTTTTGGGCCCCGTTATCAACTTTGTCCACATTGAGGTCAAAAGGGTCCAAAATTAAACTTTGTTTGATTTCATCAAAAATTGAATTATTGGGGTTCTTTGATATGCCGAATCTAACCGTGTATTTAGATTCTTAATTTTTGGTTCCGTTTTCAAATTGGTCTACATTAAGGTCCAAAGGGTCCAAAATTAAACTTAGTTTGATTTTAACAAAAATTGAATTCTTAGGGTTCTTTGATATGCTGAATCTAAACATGTATTTAGATTTTTATACGACCGCAAAAAAATTTTGAGGTCGTATATTGGTATGACGTTGGCGTCGTCGTAGTCCGGTGTCGTCGTCCGGCGTCGTCGTCCGAATACACAATGGTTTTCGCACTCTAACTTTAGTTTAAGTGAATGGATCTCTATGAAATTTTACCATAAGGTTCAATACCACAATAGGAAGGTGGGGATTGATTTTGGGGGTTATGGTACCAACAGTTAAGGAATTAGGGGCCAAAAAGGGGCCGAAAATAAGCATTTTTGTAACTTCCAGACATAACTTGTGTGTTAGCATATGGATCTCTTTGACATTGTACCACAAGATTCCATATCACAAAGGTTCAATGCTGGGATTGATTTTGGGGTTAATTGCCTCAAAATTTTAGGAATAAGGGGCCAAAAGGGGGCAAAAAACAAGCATTTTTCTAGTTTCATGACAATAACTTGTGTGTAAGTGTATGGATCTTCCTGAAATTTTACTACAAGGTTCCATTTCACAAAGGGAAAGCTGGAATTGAGTGTTGTGGTAATTGCCCAAAACGTTTTGTAATAAGGGGCCTAAAAAGGGGTTTAAAATAAGCATTTTTTAGTTTCTAGACAATAACTTGTGTTCAAGTGTATGGATCTCTCTAAAATTGTATTACAAGGTACCATACCACAAAGGCAAGGCTATTATTGAGCTTGGTTTGGGGGGAAAGGGGGGTGGGGGTGATGAATCATAAGGGGGGCGGGGGTCAAAAAAGGGGTAATTTTTTTTTTTCCTTTTTTTTTTTGTTTAAAATTTACATTTTAAGTTAGTTATTTTTTATCACGAAGAGAAAGTAGGAATTGAGTTTTGGGGTTAATTGCTCAAACATTTATGAATAAGGGGCCAAATATTGGTCGAAAATAAGGATTTTTTTAGTTTGCAACAAAAACTTGTGTTCAAGTGTATGGATCTCTGTGAAATTGTATTGCAATGTACCATACCACAAATTGAAGGTTGTGATTGAGGTGGGGGATGATGAATCAAAAGGGGGTTGAAAAAATGTGTGGGGGGGTAGGATTTTTTTTTTTCCTTTTTTTTTCTTTAAAATTTTCCATTTAAAGATGGTTGTTTCAGATTTATATATGAAAGAAAATAATAATGATACGGTTATATATCATGAGGAATTGAAATTTAAAATTATGTATATTGGAAATTTAGGTTACATTGGAAAGTAATAATTGGCTTTGGAGGGGGGGGGGGGGGGGGGGGGTGGTTATTGCTCTAATGTTTAAGGAATAAGGGGAAAAAAGGTTAAAAAACAAGGGTTTCCATTTTAATAGACAAATAATTGAGTAAAGAACATTATTTAAAAGCAGTGTAAGGTTGGTAATTCAAACTCATTTAAATATCTCATCTACACTGCTTTTAAATTATTGGAAATTGGAAATTTGCCAATAACTTTATTGTTAATAAATGCATTGGAAATTTGCCAACAATTTTAGTGTAATAAACTTCATTGGAAATTTGCCAATATAAAATTTTGCTGATGAAGGTTTTTTGTTTACCTTTAGCCTTGACTATGAAGTCATTTTCTATTTTTATAGCCTTATGATGTAGTTGAATTATTTAATACTTTTATGATGTGTTTAAATGGGGTTTTATCATGTTTATGGTTGCAAATTTATCGTTTTAGTATAATAACTCCATTTAAAATTTGCCAATAAAAAAAATTTTTGTTTATTTTTAGCTATGATTATGATGTCATTTTCTATTTTACTTTTATGGTTGCAAAGAAATTTTTATTTTTAGATATTACTGTTAAATGATGCTGATTAAGGTTTTTGCTATGTTTAGCCATGACTATGATGTCATTTTCTATTTTAATATCTGTTATGATGTATTTAAATGGGCTTTTATGGTTACAAAGGAATTTTATTTTTAGATATTACTATAAAATGTTGCTGATGCTGATTAAGGATTTTGTTTATTTTTAGCCATGACTATGATGTCATTTTCTATTTTAATATCATGATGTAATTTCCATTTTTAGATATTACTGTTAAATGATGCTGATTAAGGGTTTTTATACGACCGCAAAAAAACTTTGTGGTCGTATATTGGTATGACGTTGGCGTCGTCGTCGTCGTCGTCGTCCAGCGTCGTCGTCCGAATACATATTGGTTTTCGCACTCTAACTTTAGTTTAAGTGAATGGATCTTTTTGAAATTTAACCATAAGGTTAAATACCATAAAAGGAAGGTTGGGATTGATTTTGGGGGTTATGGTACCAACAGTTAAGGAATTAGGGGCCAAAAAGGGGCCAAAAATGAGCATTTTCTAGTTTCCAGACAATAACTGTGGAACGGTGTATGGATCTCTCTGAAATTATACTACAAGTTTCCATACCACAAAGGGATGGTTAGGATTTGCTTTGGGGGGTTATGGCTCAAACCGTTTAGGAATTACGGGCAAAAAAGGGGGAAAAACAAGGTTGTCCTGGTTAATGGACAAATACTTTAGTACAAAACATAATTTAAAGCAGTGTAAGGGAGATAAATCAAATACATCATTGAAATTATCTCCCTTACACTGCTTTTAAATTATGTATAAAGTAATGGTTTATGAACAATAAAGATAATCTAAAACAGTGTAAGGGAGGTAATCCAAATACAACGTTTTGGTTACTTCCCTTACACTGCTTTTAAATTATGTTTAAAGAAATGCATATTTATAAAGGAAGACCAGTAAAAATATCTGCAAATGTTTTCATCTTTTTTTTTTACAAAAAAATCCATATGAAAGATTTGACACTATATTTTTATTAATTCTATTATAAAATAGATTAAGTTAGCACTATGGTAAATTTAAATGGGTAATTATGGTTGCCAACTCCATTGGAAATTTGAATTGAGATTATGACCATATCTTGAGGGAAAGAATTTTTTTGGGGGAAAAAGGGGGGGAGGGGGATAAAAAGAAATTGTGGGGGGCCAATTTTTTCTCATTTCAGATTTCAGAAATTAAAAAGAATTATTCTTCAAATATTATTTTTTTTTCAAATTTCAAATATTGAAAAATTTCAAGAAGTAATCTTTAATTGCACAGTATGGCGCATTAGATTTGTAAAATCTTTGATCACATTTATTTATTTGTTATGGCGAATCAAACAGTGTATTTAGATTTTTAATTTTGGGTCCAGTTTTCAAATTGGTCTACATTAATGTCCAAAGGGTCCAAAATTAAACTTTGTTTGATTTTAGCAAAAATTGAATATATGAGGTTCTTTGATATGCTGAATCTAAACATGTATTTAGATTTTTGATTTTTGGCCCAGTTTTCAAGTTGGTCCAAATTGGGGTCCAAAATTAAACTTTGTTTGATTTCAACAAAAATTGAATATATGGGGTTCTTTGATATGCTGAATCTAACCATGTATTTAGATTTTTTATTTGTGGACCCCGTTATCTAATTGGTTCATATTGAGGTCAAAAGGGTCCAAAATTAAACTTTGTTTGATTTCATCTAAAATTGAATTATTGGGGTTCTTTGATATTCCAAATCTAACCGTGTATTTAGGTTTTTAATTTTGGGTCCTGTTTTTTAAATTGGTCTACATTGAGGTCCAAAGGGTCCAAAATTAAACTTAGTTTGATTTTAACAAAAATTGAATTCTTGGGGTTCTTTGATTTGCTGAGTCTAAATTTGTGTTTAGATTTTTGATTATGGGCCCAGTTTTCAAGTTGGTCCAAGATAGGGTCCAGTATTTAAACTTTGTTTGATTTCAACAAAAATTGAATCTATGGGGTTCTTTGATATGCTGAATCTAAACATGTATTTAGATTTTTGATTATGGGCCCAGTTTTCAAGTTGGTCCAAATTGGGGTCCAAAATTAAACTTTGTTTGATTTCAACAAAAATTGAATATATGAGGTTCTTTGATATGCTGAATCTAACCATGTATTTAGATTTTTTATTTGTAGGCCCCGCTATCAAATTGGTTCATATTGAGGTCAAAAGGGTCCAAAATTAAACTTTGTTTGATTTCATCGAAAATTGAATTATTGGGGTTCTTTGATATGCCAAATCTAACCGTGTTTTTAGATTTTTAATTTGGGTTCCGTTTTTTAAATTGGTCTTCATTGAGGTCCAAAGGGTCCAAAATTAAACTTAGTTTGATTTTAACAAAAATTGAATTCTTGGGGTTCTTTGATATGCTGAATCTAAACATGTGTTTAGATTTTTGATTATGGGCCCAGTTTTCAAGTTGGTCCAAGTTGGGGTCCAAAATTAAACTTTTTTTTATTTCAACAAAAATTGAATATATGGGGTTCTTTGATATGCTGAATCTAACCATGAATTTAGATTTTTTATTTGTGGGCCCCGCTATCAAATTGGTTCATATTGAGGTCAAAAGGGTCCAAAATTAAACTTTGTTTGATTTCATCAAAAATTGAATTATTGGGGTTCTTTGATTCCAAATCTAACCGTGTATTTAGATTTTTAATTTTAAGTCCCGTTTTTTAAATTGGTCTACATTAAGGTCCAAAATTAAACTTAGTTTGATTTTAGCAAAAATTGAATTCTTGGGGTTCTTTGATATGCTGAATCTAAACATGTGTTTAGATTTTTGATTATGGGCCCAGTTTTCAAGTTTGTCCAAGTTGGGGTCCAAAATTAAACTTTGTTTGATTTTAACAAAAATTGAATATATGGGGTTCTTTGATATGCTGAATCTAACCATGTATTTTGATTTTGGACATTGGACCATAATAGGTAAATTAAAAAAATTCAAGTCCTTAGACCACATTCTTTCTGTGTCAGAAACCTATGCTGTGTCAAATATTTAATAACAATCCAAATTCAGAGCTGTATCAAGCTTGAATGTTGTGTCCATACTTGCCCCAACTGTTCAGGGTTCGACCTCTGCGGTCGTATCAAGCTGCGCCCCAGCGAAGCATTTTATTTGCTATGTTTAGCCATGACTATGATGTCATTTTCTATTTTAATATCTTTATGATGTATTTAAATGGGCTTTTATGGTTACAAAGGAATTTTATTTTTAGATATTACTTTAAATGTTGCTGATTAAGGATTTTTGTTTATTTTTAGCCATGACTATGATGTCACTTTCTATCTTAATACCTTTATGATGTATTTAAATGGGCTCCCATGTATTTAGATTTTTGATTATTTATACATGTTACCAAATTGGTCCACATTGAACAAAAACGGTCCAAATTTCAACTTTATTACATTACATCAAACATTGAATTCTACATATTCTTTGATATATTGAAATTAACAAACAATATAGTTTATGGAGATTCCACCATAATAGGTAAATTAAATTTTTTCCAGTTCTTACACCACATTCATCCTGTGTCAGAAACCTATGCTGTGTCAAATATTTAATGACAATCCAAAGTCATAGCTGTATCAAGCTTGAATTTTGTGTCCATACTTGCCCCAACTGTTCAGGGTTCGACCTCTGCGGTCGTATCAAGCTGCGCCCCAGCGAAGCATTTTATTGATTATGGGCCCAGTTTTCAAGTTGGTCCAAATCGGGGTCCAAAATTAAACTTTGTTTGATTTCAACAAAAATTGAATATATGGGGTTCTTTGATATGCTGAATCTAACCATGTATTTAGATTTTTGATTTTTGGGCCCCGTTATCAACTTTGTCCACATTGAGGTCAAAAGGGTCCAAAATTAAACTTTGTTTGATTTCATCAAAAATTGAATTCTTGGGGTTCTTTGATATGCTGAATCTAACCATGTATTTAGATTTTGGATATTGGACCATAATAGGTGAATGTCCAATTTAAAATTTTTAAGTTCTTAGACCACATTCAATCTGTGTTAGAAACCTATGCTGTGTCAAATATTTAATCACAATCCAAATCCAAAGCTGTATCAAGCTTGAATGTTGTGTCCATACTTCCCCCAACTGTTCAGGGTTCGACCTCTGCGGTCATATCAAGCTGCGCCCTGCGGAGCATTTTATTTTAACTGATTCTGAAAAACAATTAATACACCAAATCATTTTATGACAAAGTTTAAGTCTACAAATAGGAACAAATGGAAAATATAAAAAAAGTCTATTTAGAGTCATATAAGATTCAATATAATAGGCTTATTGTTATATACCAACTCTTACTTGTGAACATAAGAACAATAATAAATAGAAAAGTTAGTAGAATTCTTTCCTTGTCTATCTTGTTAAGCAATTATCATTTTTGGCAAATTACCTGAATGAAATATTTCCTTTACAGTATTTCGTAATGGCCGAGTAAAAATCATGGTTGCCACAGATGTTTGTGCCAGAGGATTAGGTAAGACTGAAGTATAGATAGATAATTCTTACATTTATGTTATTAACTTATATTTGATAACCATTTAAGCTAATGCAATTTCTTGTCACCAAAACAAAAATAAGGTGCAAATGGGGTCATTAGTTTTACCCTCATCTGGTTGATCTTCCTTCTAATATCTGGAAAGGACCTCAACATAACCTTTTAAAATCTTAATCTTTAATATGTAATTCAATTTAGAAACTTTGTAAATATTTCCAAGTAATCATATATATAGTAGACTACTGTAAATTCAGAAATTATTGCGAAGTTTTTATTATTGCGAAAAATGCGACAGGGTTATAATCGCAATAATTTAAACTCGCATTTTGAAATTTTTTAGATGAATTAAACAGGATTTTTCTCAATATCGCAAAAATAAAAAACGCATTTTAGGCTAAAATGACAAAATCGCAATAATAAATGCACGCAATAATTTGTGAATTTACAGTATATGTTCATGGGTGTTTAATTATGAAGTTTTGTCAAATTATTTGATGTCTTCCTATATCAGTTTAGTATTTTTAAGAATACTGTTTTTTGCCCATTTAAGGTACTGTGGATTCATTTAATTTCGTGGATACCAATTTTCATTGTTTGAAGAAAAGTAATATTTTCGTGGATATTTGATTTCATGTATTTGCCAAAGTCTATATACAAGTCTTTACAAAATGTATACTTCGTTGAACATTCAAATTTGTGGTTAACTCTTGCCTACTAAATTTCTTTTATTAGTTATACAGTAAATATTGTTATTGTTTATTTTTAGATGTAAGTGACATTACATATGTTGTGAATTATGACTTCCCACCAAAAGGGGTAGAGGATTATATCCATAGAATAGGTAGAACTGGCAGAGCAGGCAATTCAGGAACAGCAGTCACATTGTTTTCTTATGACGACAGGAATTCTGCTAGAGATTTAATAAAGATCATGAAAGAGGCAGACCAAGAGGTCCCTGAAGAATTGTTGGGAATGACAAGACGTAAGTTAACCTGTCAAACAAGATCATGTGATCTACACAATATTTTCTAGTACATATCTTTACAAGGTGTTTTTATACGACCGCAAAAAAATTTTGTGGTCGTATATTGGTATGACGTTGGCGTCGTCGTCGTCGTCGTCGTCCGGCGTCGTCGTCCGAATACACATTGGTTTTCGCACTCTAACTTTAGTTTAAGTTAATGGATCTTTTTGAAATTTGACCATAAGGTTAAATACCACAAAAGGAAGGTTGGGATTGATTTTGGGGGTTATGGTACCAACAGTTAAGGAATTAGGGGCCAAAAAGGGGCCAAAAATAAGCATTTTCTAGTTTCCAGACAATAACTGTGGAATGGTGTATGGATCTCTCTGAAATTATACTACAAGTTTCCATACCACAAAGGGATGGTTAGGATTTGCTTTGGGGGGTTATGGCTCAAACCGTTTAGGAATTAGGGGCAAAAAAGGGGAAAAAACAAGGTTGTCCTGGTTAATGGACAAATACTTTAGTACAAAACATAATTTAAAGCAGTGTAAGGGAGATAAATCAAATACATCATTGAAATTATCTCCCTTACACTGCTTTTAAATTATGTATAAAGTAATGGTTAATGAACAATAAAGATAATTTAATACAGTGTAAGGGAGGTAATCCAAATACAACGTTTTGGTTACTTCCCTTACACTGCTTTTAAATTATGTTTAAAGAAATGCATATTTATAAAGGAAGACCAGTAAAAATATCTGCAAATGTTGCATCTTTGTTTTTTTACAAAAAAAACCATATGAAAGATTTGACACTATATTTTTAATTCTATTATAAAATAAATTTAAATGGGTAATTATGGTTGCCAACTCCATTGGAAATTTGAATTGAGATTATGACCATATCTTGAGGGAAAGAATTTTTTTGGGGAAAAAAAGGGGGAGGGGGATAAAAAGAAATTGTGGGAGGTCAATTTTTTCTCATTTCAGATTTCAGAAATTAAAAAGAATTATTCTTCAAATATTATTTTTTTTTCAAATTTCAAATTATTGAAAAATTTCAAGAAGTAATCTTTAATTGCACAGTATGGCGCATTAGATTTGTAAAATCTTTAATCACATTTATTTATTTGTTATGCCGAATCTAACAGTGTATTTAGATTTTGAATTTTGGGTCCTGTTTTTTAAATTGGTCTACATTAAGGTCCAAAGGGTCCAAAATTAAACTTTGTTTGATTTTGGCAAAAATTGAATATATGAGGTTCTTTGATATGCTGAATCTAAACATGTATTTAGATTTTTGATTTTTGGCCCAGTTTTCAAGTTGGTCCAAATTGGGGTCCAAAATTAAACTGTGTTTGATTTCAACAAAAATTGAATATATGGGGTTCTTTGATATGCTGAATCTAACCATGTATTTAGATTTTTTATATCTGGACCCCGTTATCAAATTGGTTCATATTAAGGTCAAAAGGGTCCAAAATTAAACTTTGTTTGATTTCATCTAAAATTGAATTATTGGGGTTCTTTGATATTCCAAATCTAACCATGTATTTAGATTTTAAATTTTGGGTCCTGTTTTTTAAATTGGTCTACATTAAGGTCCAAAGGGTCCAAAATTAAACTAAGTTTGATTTTAACAAAAATTGAATTCTTGGGGTTCTTTGATATGCTGAATCTAAACATGTGTTTAGATTTTTGATTATGGGCCCAGTTTTCAAGTTGGTCCAAATTGGGGTCCAAAATTAAACTTTGTTTGATTTCAACAAAAATTGAATATATGAGGTTCTTTGATATGCTGAATCTAACCATGTATTTAGATTATTTATTTGTGGGCCCCGCTATCAAATTGGTTCATATTGAGGTCAAAAGGGTCCAAAATTAAACTTTGTTTGATTTCATCAAAAATTGAATTATTGGGGTTCTTTGATATGCCAAATCTAACCGTGTTTTTAGATTTTTAATTTGGGTCCCGTTTTTTAAATTGGTCTTCATTGAGGTCCAAAGGGTCCAAAATTAAACTTAGTTTGATTTTAACAAAAATTGAATTCTTGGGGTTCTTTGATATGCTGAATCTAAACATGTGTTTAGATTTTTGATTATGGGCCCAGTTTTCAAGTTGGTCCAAGTTGGGGTCCAAAATTAAACTTTTTTTGATTTCAACAAAAATTGAATTTATGGGGTTCTTTGATATGCTGAATCTAACCATGTATTTTGATTTTGGACATTGGACCATAATAGGTAAATTAAAAAAATTCAAGTTCTTAGACCACATTCTTTCTGTGTCAGAAACCTATGCTGTGTCAAATATTTAATAACAATCCAAATTCGGAGCTGTATCAAGCTTGAATGTTGTGTCCATACTTGCCCCAACTGTTCAGGGTTCGACCTCTGCGGTCGTATCAAGCTGCGCCCCAGCGAAGCATTTTATTAGAAAGGTGAACATTGTTAAAAAATTGTCTAATATGAGTATTATTTACCTATTTTTTTTTTAAAGGAGTGAACTAGCCTCCATTATCTCATGACTTAATTTTCCACTTGCTATATATGTATCAATTTGGAAATTTATCAAAAGTATTCTCCATTGTTTGAGATAACCATAACTTAGAATGTTGTTCTGTTTGTGATAATCATGAGTCATGCTTACTATTTGAAAGATTATTATGCCATACAAAAAGATTTGAAAGCTTACCAGGTCAAATAAAGAAAAAAGTAAGAATCGGAGAGGCTTTTTTTAACTGGTGCAAACAGAACATGACATGACATCAATAAAGATGCCATATTAGAAGACAGTTTTTCAATACTGCTTCATCTTAATGGAAATCAGTTTATAAGTGCTCTAAACTGTTCACAAAAATGTTTCAATACAAAGACCAGGATATTTTATATGGAAAGGGTATTGGAACCAAAAGAATAAATAATTTCTGGAGTTTAAAAAAAAAATTAAAACCCTCCATTGGGTGAGCATTAAGGAACATGCCGTTATGCCTGTGAGTCAAATGATTTTTAGGAGCCCTTATTGGTTGGTTTAAATTTTGTCGATTTTATAATTCCATTACTGTAATACATTCAGGGTGTGGTTCTTATTTTCTGGTTTTGTCTAGATTTAATTTTTTAACAAATATCATGCAACTCTATGGGTAGCACCTGAAGTGCAAATTTTGTTTGAATTGGTTTTTGTTTTGAATTTAATGTTAGTTTCATTTTAATTGCTTACTGGTCTTGTGTAAAGGTCAAGGTCACAAACTTAGTTAAAAGTTGCCAAGATAGGTCTACAAACAAAAATTGTGTTTGATCTTTAACTTCATTGGCCCTCAGAGCTTATTAACATTATTTCGTATGAATGTTCATCACAACGAGATGGTGTAAAGTAAATAAGATTTGAATCACCACACAACTTTAGACCCTAGATCTATGTTTATAAACTGTGTTTGCTCTATGTCTTGAGTACTAAATTTGATTAAGTAAATGATATGCAGAGGTCAAATAATCCTAGACAAATATTAAAGGATATTGTGTCCTAAGAAATCTCAGTAAATTTTAGGGAAATTATGTACGCTATATGTTAATGAAATGTCTGTTTATTCATATTTCAACAGGTTGTACCAATATGATGCTTTGGCAGAGGAAACCCTTTATACCACAAAAATATGTCATTTAAGTACAGACAGTCAAATCTTGTTTCAAAGTTTGTGACTTTATCATAAATTCGGATATGATCTTTATTTCAGATTCCCATGGCAACCAAAGAAGAAATAGCAGATACCAACCAAGTTACAGAAGAGATTCCAGAGATTACCAGGATAGAAGACCTTTCAGACACAGAATGAATAGAGGAGAAGGATATGCTTCAGGCTTTACTCGCATGGATGACTGATACTGTCATATGTTAATAAGAGTTATCAAGCATGAAGTTGGACATAAATAAGTCTTTTGAAAAAAAAGACATAAGTCTTTTGAATAAAAAAAGACTGAAAATTGTGATCATGAACAATATGTATATATCAATTGAAATTTTTAAAATCTTCTGACAATTGACATTTTACAAATTTTATTACTGAAGACAATTAGTTATGTTTTCATTTTAAAATTTGTGATGAATCATTTGCATTTTGTAAAATGCAAATGCATTATCACGAGTTTATACTTTGGATCTAAAATATAATGTCCAAAATTTTATTTAAAGTTCAAAATTATGGTTAAAAATTTTTTGTTACATGAAGAATGAAAATCACAAAACAAATGTATGCATGAAATGTTTGTTAGTTATAATTTATTTGAAATAAAACAAGTATAACAATCTTTAGTAAAAATATTAAATTTAATTTGTTACTATTATACCTCAAATCATGAATTGTTTAGGATATTGCAATGCCCTTGTCCATTGGTTCATCTGTTTGTCTGTTTGTCTGTCTGTTACTTTCATTACATAGAACTCAGCTTCTGTATTTAAAAAAAATTATTAGATATTTGGCTTTTACCTTTATAATGTTGTGTGAGGGATTTTCAGATCTGTAGGCAGTCACATCCTGTTTTTACCTGCGTCACCGAAGGCGTAAACAGATCTAGTAACCGCTTGACTCTGTCCATCAGTCTGTCTGAAAGAAAACTTTATACAATTTTTTTTCAGCATCAATGAAAGGAAATGATTTAATATTTGGTCCACAGCTTGATAATGTTGAGTTGTAGAGTCTGCCATGTAGCCAATTTCTGTTTGCCAATAGTTTGAAATTTTACAACACTCGTTGTACAAGGAAAATTTTCATCACACTTTTCTTGCCTCCAATTGAAGTGATTCATTTTAATATGGCCTGGGAATGATCAGTTATGCTCTAGAATACATGTTACCTAAATCAATTTCATGCAGCAACGCAGGTCCAGACCAAATATTGATCTTGTTCATTCTTCAAATTTTGATTATACTGACTCTGCATGGAGTTTTTCATTATTGTCTAATAATGGGTGTCTTTACATGACATCCCATGCAATTTCTTGATTGACCAAGAGTCTTCAGGTGTAGGTAGCTTGTCAATAAGCAAAACAGTGGATTCTATCATCACAATAATACGTCTTAATTTTAATGCATACATTTATTGACTGGATGTACTAAACTTTATTCCTATGAGGGAGAAAGTGCTATCGAGAACCATTTTCTGTCATATTAGGTATACTTGAATATAACTGAATTGGGACAATACAATTGATTTATTTAGTTGAGTAACTTCCAATTCTTTATTATAAATTATATCCCCTTGCATGGGATAGGGATGCTAATAAATTGTGTAAAGCTTTATATTTCAAAACGTAGAAGAGCTAACTACTGCATATCTTGTATACAGATGCCTTCTGTTCTGAAGTTTCAGTCTGACATATGTATAGTGTCCTTAACCTTATTTTTACTGGTTAGAGACTGCAAAAAATCTAGTTTTTTCACATATTTTTTTAGTTATGAGTTAAGGGACAATTATATTTGATATATAGAATCATTGCAAGGTATGTGCGACAGGGTTCACTTGACTTCGACATAATTTCATTGATCGATGACGAAGGTTAAGTTTTCTTGATTAGATCTATTTCTCAGATAAGTAATAGGTCAATTGTATTTGGTGTGTGGAATGGGTAGTCAAGGTTGTTAAACACCCCCTTGTAGTAGTGTATGTAATGATTGCAAGGGTTCCATATATTTCTGGCAGGGTTTATCTGACCTTGGCCTCCTTTTCATGGATAATTGACATTCTGGTATCTGTAGTTAAACCTTGATCTTGGAGACTTATTGAGTAAAGCAGGCTAGACATTTCAGTGTGAGCACTCTAGTGATATGGTATCATTCATTTGTATGTAGGCCAATGGAGGATTCCTTCTTGGTAATGTATGCTTCTTTTTCAGTATAATTGGATCTGCATAGTCCATTTTGTTGCTCATAGTAAATCTCTGGGGATTCCTGTTTAATTCACCAATGAATAAACTTCCAGATATCAACGATTTTACACACACAGTCATCAATCTTCTCAGAAAGAAAATATCTTTCCTGTTGTAAACTGAATAAAATCACTTTTCTTGCATGATTTACTTGTACCTGTGAAATAATCTGAGATGGAGCCTCTGAATTTTATTGCATTCACCTCACAACTTACTACTTTAAATCTGAAACTTACCCATGATCACTGATCCATACAATTTAGGTCATATCCTGATATATTTTATCCAATGTTAACGTTACATTGTACCACATCCGATTCCTTCATAGCCACTTTAACCTGAAACTTCACCAAAAGCCTATCCATAGTAATTGAATGAGGAAAAAGGAAATACACACTATCCTTCCGATTTTTATACGACCGCAAACAAATTTTGCGATCGTATATTGGTATGACGTTGGCGTCGTCGTCGTCAGAAGACACATTGGTTTCCGCACTCTAACTTTAGTTTAAGTGAATGGATCTCTATGAAATTTTACTATAAGGTTCAATACCACAAAAGGAAGGTGGGGATTGATTTTGGGGGTTATGGTACCAACAGTTAAGGAATTAGGGGCCAAAAATAAGCATTTTTGTAACTTCCAGACATAACTTGTGTGTTAGTGTATGGATCTCTCTGACATTGTACCACAAGGTTCCATATCACAAAGGGAATGCTGGGATTGATTTTGGGGGTAATTGCCTCAAAATTTTAGGAATTAGGGGCAAAAAACAAGCATTTTTATATGGACAAATACCTTAGTTCAAAACATAATTTAAAGCAGTGTAAGGGAGATAAATCAAATACATCATTTAAATTACCTCCCTTACACTGCTTTTAAATTATGTATAAAGTAATGGTTTATGAACAATTAAGACAATTTAAAACAGTGTAAGGGAGGTAATCCACATACAACGTTTTGATTACTTCCCTTACACTGCTTTTAAATTATGTTTAAAGAAATGCATATTTATAAAGGAAGACCAGTAAAAATATCTGCAAATGTTGCATCTTTTTTTTTTTACAAAAAAATCCATATGAAAGATTTGACACCATATTATAAATTCTATTATAAAACAGATTAAGTTAGCACTATGGTAAATTTAAATGGGTAATTATGGTTGCAAATTCCATTGGAAATTTGAATTGAGATTATGACCATATCTTGAGGGAAAGAATTTTTTTGGGGAAAAAGGGGGGGGGGGGGTAATTCTCATTTCTGATTTCAGAAATTAAAAAGAAATATTCTTCAAATATGATTTTTTATTCAAATTTCAAATATTGAAGAATTTCAAGAAGTAATCTTTAATTGCACAGTATGGCGCATTAGATTTGTAAAAACTTTGACCACATTTATTTATTTGTTATGCCAAATCTGACTGTGTATTTAGATTTTTAATTTTGGGTCCAGTTTTCAAATTGGTCTACATTAAGGTCCAAAGGGTCCAAAATTAAACTTAGTTTGATTTTAACAAAAATTGAATATATGGGGTTCTTTGATATGCTGAATATAAACATGTATTTAGATTTTTGATTTCGGGCCCAGTTTTCAAGTTGGTCCAAATTGGGGTCCAAAATTAAACTTTGTTTGATTTCAACAAAAATTGAATATATGGGGTTCTTTGATATGCTGAATCTAACCATGTATTAAGATTTTTTATTTGTGGGCCCCGCTATCAAATTGGTTCATATTGAGGTCAAAAGGGTCCAAAATTAAACTTTGTTTTATTTCATCAAAAATTTAATTATTGGGGTTCTTTGATATGCCAAATCTAACCGTATATTTAGATTTTTAATTTTGGGTCCAGTTTTCAAATTGGTCTACATTAAGGTCCAAAGGGTCCAAAATTAAACTCAGTTTGATTTTAACAAAAATTGAATATATGGGGTTCTTTGATATGCTGAATCTTAACATATATTTAGATTTTTGATTTTGGGCCCAGTTTTCAAGTTGGTCCAAATTGGGGTCCAAAATTTAAACTTTGTTTGATTTCAACAAAAATTGAATATATGGGGTTCTTTGATATGCTGAATCTAACCATGTATTTAGATTTTTTATTTGTGGGCCCAGCTATCAAATTGGTTCATATTGAGGTCAAAAGGGTCCAAAATTAAACTTTGTTTTATTTCATAAAAAATTGAATTATTGGGGTTCTTTGATATGCCGAATCTAACCATGTATTTAGATTTTTAATTTTGGGTCCAGTTTTCAAATTGGTCTACATTAAGGTCCAAAGGGTCCAAAATTAAACTTAGTTTGATTTTAACAAAAATTTAATATATGGGGTTCTTTGATATGCTGAATATAAACATGTATTTAGATTTTTGATTTCGGGCCCAGTTTTCAAGTTGGTCCAAATTGGGGTCCAAAATTAAACTTTGTTTGATTTCAACAAAAATTGAATATATGGGGTTCTTTGATATGCTGAATCTAACCATGTATTTTGATTTTTGGACCCCGTTATCAAATTGGTCCATATTGAGGTCAAAAGGGTCCAAAATTAAACTTTGTTTGATTTCATCAAAAAATGAATTCTTTGGATTCTTTGATATGCTGAATCTAACCATGTATTTAGATTTTGGATATTGGACCATAATAGGTAAATTAAAAAATTTTAAGTTCTTAGACCACATTCATTCTGTGTCAGAAACCTATGCTGTGTCAAATATTTAATCACAATCCAAATTCAGAGCTGTATCAAGCTTGAATGTTGTGTCCATACTTGCCCCAACTGTTCAGGGTTCGACCTCTGCGGTCGTATCAAGCTGCGCCCAGCGGAGCATTTTATTATTTTTTATACTGGTAGTAATAATTTGGCAATGAAGTTAAAAAAGGGTTGTAGTTGTGGTACTGTGTTCTGAAGGTCTATATTTATTTTCATCAAATATGGTATTCATAATCGCCATGATGGAAGGATGACCCCTATTTAAATTTAAAACACAAGGTCAGGAGGACACTTGTTTGATGGAAGACTGCACGTTGACCTGAGTAGGACCTACTTTTATTTACTGTGTTTTCTTGCACAAATCATGTCTTTATTTGGGGTTGTACAGCAGGTGGGCTGCTCCTGCTGTTTTGTGTGCAATAACTTACGAAGCCTTCAATTATCAATTTCAAATTTCAATATCTTTTTGATGTCAAAACGGAGGTCAAGATCGATATTGAAGATTTTCACTTAAGCTGTTCAGGAGTTGTGGTCTTTGATTGATTGAAAAATGTCACCATATTTTATTTCCATGTAATAAGTTGAGAATCTTTTAACAAATCCTTTTCATATTTTAATATGTTGTAACTAGGGATGTTAACGAGTACTTAAGTATTCGAGTAGTACCAAGTATTGAATACCAAAACGATACTGGACTAATCGGTTTCCTGTTAGAATATTGCTGTCTTCTTTATATATAATTGATCTTCTTGAGAACCTCTTTCGGAAAATTAAATAGGCATCACTGATTAATCATACTAGTAAATAAAATACATTTTGTTTCGAATGTTTGTGCTAAATTGTCATTTAAAATGCCTCCGAAAATATGTGGGCTATACCTAGACTATATGTAACACTTTAAACTAAACATGTCTTAGCCATTCCGTCACATCGGTACCATCAGGTTCCATCCTCTGGTGACCCTCAGTGAATAGTCAATCTTCTAATCCTTATGCCTTTGTAAACATTAAATGTGTTTTCCTAACGATTACCAAATACTATTGTTTGATATGGTTTGATTTGACTTGGGACAGGCACATGAATGCATTTATCATGGATCTTTTTTAGAACAAAACCCGCCCGACTCTAATCTTGAACACAGGATAAACAAAGGCTACATAAAAGAAAAAAAAAAATGAGAATGTGTCCATGGGACACAGATGATGCCCCTGCTTGCATATAACATTATAAAGGGACATCACTAGAGAACTGTCAAAGGGATTCATCGAATTTGGGAAGCCACCCAAATTTGAACTTGATCTGTGTTTTATGGTAATAAGCATTGTGAATCAGTTTCATAAAATTTGGTTCAGGCAAACTTAAGTTAGAGAACGGAAATTAATTTTGGGACTATGGACAAGGGTAACACTTAATGCCCCCTCTGCCGTGGCAGGGGGCATAAAAAATCTGTTTAGAAAAAGTGCAATACATGTATAATAGATAACAGAGGCAAAAGCATGACATTTCATATCACAATCATACTGTCACATAAAGATAAGATTTTTGCATTCATCAGGGAAAACAATATCAAGAACTGTATAGAAATCAGCATCTAATATAATGATTGTGTAAGAATTAAGATACAGACAATTTGACAGACATGATTTTAATAGCATTATTACACTATATATGAGTCTTAAGAGATGTTCATATCAATAATCCATATCTGTCTATCAGTTGACTTGCTTTAAACTTCTTGTTATCTGAAAGATAAGCATTCAATCATTGAAAGATATGTTCAGTGTGCTGTTAAAGTTATTAAAAATATTTTAAATTACCGTAGTAGTAGTCCCTTAAATGTAAACACTAACAGTATTCATAAAATAAATGAAGGTAGTGTTTATTATGTTTAAAATTAACCACCACCCAAAATTTAATGTTTATATCATATAAGTTATAAAATATATTGAATGATCAATAAACAAACTTAAATCTAGCATCTATTAATCTTGTGTACAACTTTCTTTATAAATGAAACTATATAAGTGTCCAAATATCCCTGGGATTGTTTTTCATTCCAAATTTCTGTACTTCTGTACAAAAACAAACAGTCGTAAACATTCTACAGCCTGACAATCTCCATTGCACAAGATCATGTTTTCTCTTGACTATTAATGATGTCTTTACACTAAATCCATTGGATGTTGGATGTTTACTGATATTTAAGTCTTAGATATATGATTTTTTTATAACTTGTTATTGGGATTGAACTAGCTTTCAGTAGCTGTAAGTACTCTCAGATCTGTACTTTGTTAGTTTTTTTTTTTAGGTTTGTTGATGAGCTGAGCCCTTTTCAACTGATTTGTATGGTTTGTTCTTATGTTGTACTGTTACACCACTGTCCCACGTTAGGGGGAGGATTTGGTGCCAGCAAACATGTTTAACTACACTACATTCTGAATGTGCCGGGCCTAAATAGGAGCCTGTAATTCAGTTGTTGTAGTTTGTTGCTGTATATCATATTTGTTTTTTTGTTAATTGCTTTGTACATAAATCAGGCCATTAGTTTTCACGTTTGGATTGTTTAACATTTGTCAATCGGGAACTTTTATAGATGACTCTGGTATGGGTTTTGAAAATTGTTGAAGGTCGTAAGGTGACCTTTACATGTGGTTGTAAACTTCTACATCATCTGATCTATGGTGGAGAGTTGTTTCATTGGCAATCATACCACATCGTCTTATTTTTATATCCAGTAATTTTCATTCAGAATTGCTCATTCAAACCTTCAAATTTTGTTGTGTTTTTTTTTAAATCCCCATACCGGGTAAATAGATGACACCACATAGTTATGTTTACAATTTCTTAACTTAAAAGCAGCCAAATATTACTATTTGAGGTATTTGGGTCACACAGAGAGTAAATACAGGGTCCCTTAAAATAAATAGAGGCCATCGTATTGACTTACCTCTTCAAACTTGTGTATCTGTCTGATAAAGAAATCTCCATAACGTCTGGCTACCTTAGTATCAGCTATATGTATCATATCCTACAAAACAATTCTCCAGATATATTTTATAAATAAAAATTGAGTAAAATGTGAAAAAACTTGTACTCATGATCTCATTTATCAGCAGTTTTTTTCTGCACTTGAGAAATGGTAAAACAATGTTTACTACTGATAACCAAGGAACAGACTTAATCACAAAAATATAGAATTGTAATAAATTCTGTAATCTATAATAGACAATCTAGTGAGATGATGTCAAAGTCAGAGAAAGATTTTACAATAAATGTAGTTTGACAGGTTGAATGATTTATAGTTTTTTGAAGGCATTTCTAACTGTTACCATAAACTAGGAAATAGTTCACACTACCACCATTTTAAAAGATGGTATTTTCAATTGAGGTAATTTTCTTACAAAATCTCTAAATTTCACCATTCCTCTATAAGTAACTTATTTTACCTTGTCAATATAGAAGTCTACTTCAGATGCTGACTGAAATTCTCCTTCCAAACCACTTGTTCCTTTTGTCCATACCACATTCTTCATCTTATGCTAAAATGACAAGAACTTTATTTTAAAGTTATCTACATTGTATGTCAACTGTCACCAAATTAAACAGAAGTAAAGTCTGTGAACATGTATAGTTTTATATGAGAATTTAGTTATGGTGTTACCAGATGAAGATTTATCCAAATAGGTATTCTTTGGCTTCATCATACATGATTTTTAATTACTACCACTAGAATTATACCATAGATGGTGAGCTGTATATACCAGAGAGTTAACATCAACTCAATGGCCACTGCCTGATTTATTATATATATTAGTAATAATGGTTCAGCTGTCTGTGCGTCCCATGAAATTCTAAAGAACTAAAAATCGCTTCCATAAATTTGGTATAAAGGTTCATGGGAGCATGCTTTACTGTGTGATACATTTCCACATCCATCGATCATCAACTTCCTGTTTACAGAATACTTATATATTCTTACACAAAATGGCAATGTTTGAAATTTTCCTAGCATGTGTGATGTGTTTTCACATTCATCTCTCATCAATTTCCTGTTTACCATTACTTAATATAGCAGGGATATCATTTAGCTCACAGTACATCTTTTTTCACTTTGCTTTGCCAGGTTCTTATATTTTAAGTGCTTGTTTCCAACTTTTGGCAATGTAAAATAAATGTATTGAAGTATAATTCTAAAAAGCACTTCATATGCAATATATGTCAAGATATTTGCATTAAACAATACAGAATTGTCCTCACGATTTTATTTGAATTTTTTGTTAAGTACAATGTATCTTTCCTATATCTTTTGAAAATTCATAAACCACACTTAAATTCTATTTGTATCTCCTAATGCATAAACTTGTTTCAATTAAAATAGAATGTTTTGCTTACCTACAAAACCTAACTTTTACATATCAATATCTATGAACAAACTATATTACAATAATATGATTGCTAAACAATACAATTACTTACTTTGAAACACATCAAATGAGTTTTTAATTCTTCAACAGGCTGAAATGGAAAACAAATATCATAGAAAGACACTTTTATTAGTGATAAATATTTCATATTCTTCTATTATATTAATAGCTAGACTGTGTAGAAATATGTATCCTTAATGCAAATTTAGTCAAGGAATATGTTCAGTATTAATCTTGAACAAAAATGTGTCGGATTTGTGTCCATAGTACATGGATGCCCCACTCGCACTATCATTTTCTATGTTCAGTGGACCATGAAATTGGGGTCAAAACTCTAATTTGGCATTAAATTAGAAAGATCATATCATAGGGAACATGTGTACTAAGTTTCAAGTTGATTGGACTTCAACTTCATCAAAAACTACCTTGACCAAAAACTTTAACCTGAAGCGGGACAGACGGACAAACGAACGAACAGACGCAGAGAACGAAAAACATAATGCCCATAAATGGGGCATAAAAATATCCTTTTCTTATCAATACATGTACAAAGATAAATTTCAGATTTAAAGTTGACTGCCAAAATATGCATGTCTCGTATCATACAAAGCTGTATCACTAGCGTCAACATCGGGCAGAAACTGTCAAATGTTGTTGTTTAACAAGAAACATTACAGAACCACAAAGTATTGAATGAAAACTTCATCAAACGTCAATACAGAAGGCATATTTGAAAAATTGCAGTTAGATTGACTTAAAAATTTACTTAAGACTACTATAGTAAATTTTTGGTTTCAATTACAGACAAAATACATTGAGATTTGACAATGTCTTTCAGGTGTTAACTCTGGTCAGTTCGTTAAAGCTAGTTCATAATATAATTGGTCTATCAACTTTTTTATTTGAAAAAACTTATGATTTTCTTATAAAACTGTTAAAAATATAAACAAATATTTTACATACCATTTCCATAAATCCTGCAAGCTTTGACAATGGAAGTGTTGTATATAACTTCAAATAGCTGAAATGATAAAAGTACATTTTGTTAAGTATTCTATAAACAATCTTAAATTTAGTCATATGAAAAAAAATTCAAGAAAAAACTTTTTTTCAAAGATTAACTGAGATTTGTTTTAATGGAAAACATAAGGGTTGATTGACAAGGTGATTATACTGGAAGTAGAATCCTAAGATAAATCATTCCATTTATTTTGTTTAACAAATGGATAATTTCTTTATATAATTCTGGCCACTTGATGTCACCCTTCCAAAATTTGACTTAGGTTCAGTGGTTTCAAATATTAATTGAAACTTGTGTCGATATTCACAAAGTAATGACAATACCTAGGAAAGCCTTTACTCTAGAAAAACTAATGAGACTTTCATCCGACTACTTAATGATTATGGTCAAGAAAAGTTAGTCATTTTTTGTATGATTTTAAATACCACTTGGACATGTTGAATTTTGAAAAAGTAATATTTATCTGTTTTATTTGCCAAAAAAAAAATTAAATAAAAATTCTTTTAAACAATGCACTTAAATTGGTGGGTAATTCTCAAAATAACCTCAACAAGCAATCCACATTTTTTTCTTTTAAATTGATAAGATGTTGCCAGACAAATTTCCATTTAAATAATGAATAATTAAAATAAGGTCACCAACTTTTTGAGTTGCATAAATCATTCAGTTAACAAAATTCTTCAAATGTCGACAATTATTTTTTTCCAAAACATAGAAATACAATATGATTAATCTAAATCAATTAAATAGAAATTTATCTAGCAAAAACATATCAATCTGTATATATGATCTATGGTTTGGTTAACAAGAATAATCATTTTGAAACAATTTTAAGAACATGTTTCTCTGGTTCACTGTGCATTCAACATAAATACATATCTTTTTTAAGAACAAAAGTTCTATAATATTAACTTGACCGTAGTTCAAAAAAAGAAATAAGATTATGGTCAGATCATATGTTCTCGTACGTCATATGAATTCGTACTATGCATGCTTTTTCAATGGAAATTGTGACGTCACAATGCATTCTTAATAGCACGAAAACCCATGACACGAGGATACAATATGAATATATACCTTCTAATGGTTGGCAAAAGAATCTGTTGTTGGACCTCATCAATAAATACTTTATGTTGAAGCATAAATGGTTCCTGAAATGATAAAAACATAAACAGTTCCAGAAATGGTTGAAGCATAAATGGTTCCTGAAATGATTAAAGAAAAACTTCATTTTGAGTAATTTTTTTGCAAAGTATTAAAAACCTGAAGTTCCCAAGACGAAACAATTTGTGTGACAGCAAGTATAACTGCTATTTAATTAAAATTCAAAATACAAAAAGAATTTCATTTCTTAAAATTGTTTGATCTGTTTTATGTTTTTTTAATGTTTTATACTCTTAACACACTTATTTTTAGTTGCTGCATAGCTTCTGTTAGATCTGTTTAACTGACAGAAAAAGCATTTGACACATAGCTGTTTAGGCGCCAATATACATTGCCAGCTTTTTTTAGCAATTAAATGACATGACTTGTTTCATTTGAGTATACTTTTCAAAGCATCTCGGGGTATAGCATGTTCATATGAAGCCTGATAATAAAATTCAGAAAGCAATGGTTTGTATGTTCCGTGAATGTCACTTAAATTTTCATACATGGTCATTATGTGTTACAATATATAAGCATTTGGTAAACAGGAAATGGATGAGTGATACATGTGAAAGTGCATCACACACTACAGCATGTCCACATGAAGCTTGTTACCAAATTTCTGGAAGCTCCAATGTGTAGTTCCTCAGAAAAATGTGATAAAAATACCATGGAACAAATGGACCAACAGGGATAAAACAGTATTACCCCCACTATTGGAACTGGCATATCACTGAATTTTGTCATTAAAATAACACTGATTTAGCAATACAAGTGATTGCATCACAAGAGAAAATAACATACTTGAACAGATAAGAATTTTTACTAAGAAAACATTGCAGGATCATTCAAAATTTCCTTTAGAATTTCCTGGATGAACTTGGAACATGTAACAACTTTTAAGCCTTGAAAAATGTTACATAAACTTTGTTCTTATATATATATACCAACCTTATGGTTTACTACTGAAGGTGTGTCATAGTTCGGTGGTACTGGTGACAAAAACTTAGGACAAGCAAAGGAAAAGTTTGATGTAAACTCTTCAATGTCTCTGTAATGAAAACAAATCTGAGAAGTCTTAACAATCACATCAAATATATATGCATAATTCAGGCAACATAAAAATAAGTCCACATATTCTGCAATTGCTTTTCTTGGGTTAAAAAATTACGTATTATGATGGAAAATAATTTTTGTTTTTAAAGAAAATCATACAGTAGTCCCTCACTTTTCATTTCTTTAATAGATAAGGTGCAGTCCGTTGTATCCGCGCACCTAATACTTTTGGTTTCACTTTGGTAATCTCATAAAACCAATAAGCAAATAATATCGTGTGAAAAAATTCATGACATACTTTAATTTCATGAAATCTTCTTTATGTATGGTTTCACCCTTCAGATTTTATGTAATGCGTGTCTAAAATTAGGGAAACCCCTGTTTTGACAATTCTTCAAATGTCTGGTGATTTCACGCATGCATTCTAAAAATAGATTATGTTGAATACAGGAAATATAGTTCAGTTTGAACCAAATAGACTGACAAGAAAGGAGCAAAATTTATTTCATTTTGATAAAAATTTGACTTAAAATGAAACCAATTTTATCTGATGATGTAATTTTTTTTAATGGATAATGACTAAATATGGTTAATCATGAGATAGATATTATAAATTTATGCTTGAACTTATCAATTCTAATCTTTTTTGTCCTTTTGGGAGACTAAAACAATAACAAGAATGATTCTTTTTATGTTACATTGCAGATATGACAAAATCAGGTAATACGTGATATCATCGGTTGCAAGGACCCAGGGGGATTCCACTGTATGTCATTAACCATGATTTCATTGAAGAATTGAATGCTTTTTTTGTATTTTTATTGGGGTTTAAAAGTGTTGAGCTAATCACATTTTGTATGGAGTGTGGTATGTGCACATGTAAAAGGCTTTTACGATCCTATAAAATTACAAAAAGAAGCACTCAAGTCTTATAATTACATTTTTATGCAACCATGAAATTAGAAGTTAAACTAAGCCTTTTGTTTGTTATCTATGCATTGTTTTCATGTAATCAGAGAGCCCATGTGCAGTTATACGGAAATGCAACTTTTGGAATGCCTGGGCCAACCAAAACAACTGAATCATACAAACTTCTATGTAATGTAATTGTTATGCACATTTTATTTTTTCAATCTCTAAATTAGAAACAGACAGACAGCCATGATGGTCAGTCCTTGGTTTTTGACCTTGTATTGTAATTAAAGAACTAATTTAAACATGGAGGCTAAAATATCTAAAATCATAAACTGAAGATATAATTTGGACTTCAGTATAATTTCATTGTCATCACCACAAGATCTTACCCTTTTTGCATTCTCAACATTTTATCAGCAAACTTTTCTCTGAGTTGTGAGTGAACACTTTCATCTATTCTCATTGGATGTAACACCAGACATATTGCCAACAAAGTGTACATCTTGTCATTCATTTTTGTTATCTGTAAAAAATACATTTCATAGTTACTTTAAATACCATACTTAAATGAAATTATGGATACAGTATACATAACATATTGTGAACAACTGAGATCAAGCAAGTTATATTGATTATAACAAAATAATGAACATTTCAGGAAAGGTATCAATCAAATATGAATAATAGAAACATTAGAAGCATAGTTCATGTCATATTTTAAGTAGTAATGTTTACCTGATCATATAGCTGGGCTCTAGACTGGAACATTTGTTTGGTTCTCTGAATGTACAGTAATACATTAGATAAAGTTCTGATAGCATCTTGGTATCTCCTCATCATCATATAACAAAATCCAACATAATAGAAAGTAGTTATCTGACAGGCTGGTACTCGTGAATACATGTTCTAAAAATATGATACGGAAAAAGATTTGTTTCATGGTGTCAACCTGCATATTTTACATATATCATTTATTATATAAAAATTACATAACAAGAAGTTTTATACAATTCCATAATTTTGATTGGCCGAGGTTAATTATTAGTTATATTTTATTTTTGAAATAATTATGCAAGCCATAAATGTGTTGAAATTTTCACATGACAAAGTATTATATGATGATCATATTTTACAGAATCAAAGTTTCAGATTCAGTTGCTTTATTATTGGTACTGGATGTTTCTTTTATATACTGTGATTTTTTTTTTTTTTGGTGGGTACCAACTTCCTTGGATAGAAATAACATTGCATTTTCATGGATACTTGATTTCTTGGTTTAGCCAAAGTTTGCATACATGCCCATAGGAAACTCATACTTCGTTGAACATTTTAATTCTTTACCAACATAATCCACAAAAATTGGTACCCAACGAATAGTAGTGAATCCAAAGTATGCTAGAAATCAATGTAAAATGTCTGAAAAAAGACAAGACTTACTCACCCTTATAACATTACTGAAATTACCTTTTTGTTGAAGTCAATACTTTCAAGTACTTTAAGTGCTTGGTAGTAGTCTCCTAACAAGGAGTGTAATCTAAGTAAGCCAATCAAACTGAAATATCCCAACATTTTATACAGAGAATGCTGTCCAAACTCTCCAGCAACACTTTCTGGATCACCTGTAAATATAACAGTAAAGTTCACTTGACAAGTCTGATTTAGATAAAATAAACAAAAGAAACTAATCAGACATTAATACAATTATAATTTAACTGTTTACAACACTTTGAATTTTTTCGAAATACTAAGGATTTTCTAGATGACCTTTGCTCTATTTGGCAAAACCTTTCAGAATTTTGGGTCCTCAATGCTCTTCAACTTCATACTTAATTTGACCTTTTTAACTTTTTTGATTTGTCTCTCACTGATGAGTCTTTTGTAGACAAAAAGTGTGTCTGGCATACAAAATTTTAATCCTGGTATCTATGATGAGTTAATTATGTATAGAAAACTTTTACTGTTGTCAACAACTAAACATTTCAACTGACCTCCACTAGTATAGACTTCTAGCTGTCTGTTGATACTTGATTTCTCTACTAGAGAATGTAACACATTCAATACACTATGTACATTCCAGATCTAAAAAAAAAATTAAAAAACAATATAACTTTACTATTTACAAATAAATTTGGGTTTCCATTCCATCACAAACTATAAGAATTAATTTTCACTAGCACTATTGGAAAGCCAATTACATTTTATAATGTTGACGTTAAAAAAACAGTTCGATGCATTTTTTTCAAATTTCAAGCAATATCAACACAAATGACATCATGTTAAGCCTGAAACACTTGGTAATTTAAAAATTGAATGTTTTATAATAATTTCACTTAAGTCTTATCTATTTGTTGTCATACCATATCCTTCATCAAAAAGTATGAGTGAAGAAAAACTCTTAAGATATAATATAATAAAATTGAGAATGGAAATGCAATGTTATTTCTATCCAAGAAAGTTGGCACCCACCAAAAAAAACATTCACGGTATATAAAAGAAACATCCAGTACCAATACTAAAGCAACTGAATATGAAACTTTGATTCTGTAATGATATGTTATATAATGCTTTGTCATGTGAAAATTTCAAGACATTTATGGCTTGCATAATTATTTCATTTTAACCTAAAACTGACAGAATTCATAAATTACAAATTTGACACAATATAGTTACCTTTGGGTGTCCTCTTAGTACATTGATTTCATCTTCTGACTTCTTTCCAATTTTACTTCTGTGTATACTGAAGCACTGAAACTAAGTGAGAACAAAGCATGAACTTCTTGAAATACTGCATATATTTACACTACAAATTTTGTGTTTATTGTTCGATGTTCAACATTACTAATTACCGCAAGCATATTCAAGATGAGGATAAATTTGATAATATTCAAGTTCTTTACCCCATTGTAAATAGGTGACCCAGGAGTTAAACATTGAAATGAATTAGAAATGTGTCATATAATACAATCAATGATTTTCAAAAAGGGACACAAAGTGTATTAACCAAAGAAAAAATTATATCAACCTTGGCCTATAGCCTCTGAAGATATGTCACTCATGGTTTTGAAATCCTTAAGCTTGTAGCCATTACATTAAAGGCATTAATTATATAATAGCAATGACCACTCATAAGTAGTGAAAGGTAACTCTACATGTTGTAATACAAACAAGTATATATATAATTGAGAAATGCAAGTGAAAATCATAGACGAGTAATTGGTGGCATCCCATAACTAGACATACAAACCTGATAAATGAATTCATCAATGATATCCCATAACCACTGGTTTGGTAGCTCTAAATGTACAGGTCCCTCTGCATCTATTATAAACAACATGTTTTAATATTAGTTTTAAATCATGCCTTTATTCTAAAGTGGTTGTAAAAATTTCAGAGTACACAAAATATGCTTATTGAATAACCGTAATCAGGTATGAGTGAGAAGTTATTAAATGAACCCAAATATCTAAAAACAAAAGGGCCAAAATATAAGAAAATGTATTTCAAAACATGATATTTAAAATAAATTATTCAATATAAAATAGATAAAATACAAAAACTATAAAGTAATTTGAAATTATAACTTAACAAAATAAATGTGGATCGTGTCCACATGTGGACACAGATGATGCCCCCGCTTGCATATGATATAGTTATAAAGGGACATAACTGAAGAACGGTAAAAGTGACGCTACCCAAATTTGAACTTGATCTGAGTTTTGTGGTAATAAGCATTGTGTGTAAGTCTCATAACATTTAGTTGAGGCAAACTTAAGTTAGAGAATGGAAACTAAAAATTTAGCAATTTTTCCATTTATAAAGGAGCATTTCTCTAGAACGGTTTGAGTGACGCCACCAAAATTCAAACTTGATCTGTGTTTTGTGATAATAAGCATTGTGTATAAGTTTCAAAACATTTGGTTGAGGCAAACTTAAGTAAGAGAACGGAAACTAAACATTTGGCAATTTTTCCATTATAAAGGGGCATAACTCTAGAATCATTTAAGTGATGCCACCAAAATTCAAACTTGATTTGTGTTTTGTGGTAATAAGCATTGTGTATAAGTTTCATAACGTTTGGTTGAGGAAAACTTTAGAGAACGGAAACAAAACTTTTGCAATTTTTCCATTTATAAAGGGCATTACTCTAGAACGGTTTGAGTGACGCCACCAAAGTTCACCCTTGATCTGTATTTTGTGATAATAAGCATTGTGTATAAGTTTCATAACATTTGGTTGAGGCAAATTTAAGTTAGAGAACGGAAACTAAAAGTTTTGCAATTTTTCCATTTACAAAGGGGCATAACTCTAGAATGGTTAGAGTGACGCTACCCAAATTAAAACTTGATCTGTGTTTTGTGGTAATAAGCATTGTGTATAGGTTTCATAACATTTGGTTGAGACAAACTCAAGTTAGAGAACGGAAACCAATTTTGGGACGTACGGACGTACGTACGTACAGACAGACAAGGGTAAAACTTAATGCCCCCTCCGCTACGGCGGGGGCATAAAAATGCTTAATTCCCTCAAAATTAAATGAATTCATAAAATAATTGCCTTTAACATATCAAAAAGCAGAAGATACTTACTAAGGATAAAGTTGAATAGATTACAGTAGTTGTAGTAGGATTCAAACATCTGTTCCAGTGTAGGTCCAGTCTGTAATAAATATATAAAACTAGTCTTTAGCTTATCAAGATAATTCTTAAAATTCAGATGATATAAGGAGGCCATTCTTTATCATTTTAACTGGAACCAACAAGACTAATTCCCCAGTATAACTGCAGTTTTTAAAAGTACAATTAGTTAAGCTCAACATTTTTATTAGCTTCAACTAAATATTTACTGCAATTGTTATAAAATAAATGGGGAATGTGTCCATGGGACACAGATGATGCCCCCGCTTGCATACAACGTTATAAAGGGTATAACTCAAGAACTGTAAAAGTGACACTACCCAAATTTGTACTTGATCTGAGTTTTGTGGTAATAAGCATTGTGCATAAGTTTCATAACATTTGGTTGAGGCAAACTAAAGTTAGAGAACAGAAACAAATATTTCAGGAATTTTCCATTTGTAAAGGGGCACAACTCTAGAACGGTAAAAGTGACGCCACCAAAATTCAAACTTGACCAGTGTTTTGTGGTAATAAGCATTGTGTATAAGTTTCATAACATTTGGTTGAGGCAAACTAAAGTTAGAGAACGGAAACGAAAAATTCAGCAATTTTTCCATTTGTAAAGAGGCATAACTCTAGAACGATAAAAGTGATGCCACCAAAATTCAAACTTGATCTGTGTTTTGTGGTAATAAGCATTGTGTATTAGTTTCATAACATTTGGTTGAGGCAAACTAAAGTTAGAGAACGGAAACCAATTTTGGGATGTACGGACGGACGTACGTACAGACGGAAAAGGGTAAAACTTAATGCCCCCTCTGCTACGGCAGGGGCATAAAAATAAGGAGAAGTGGTATGATTGTCAATGAAACAACTATCCACCAGAGTTTAAATGACTTGCATAAAAGCAATTACAGATCACCATATGGCATCCAACAATGAGAAAAACCAATACCATATAGTCAGCTATAAAAAACAAGACTGGAAAAATGTGAAAAAAAATCAAAAATTGATGTGTCATTTCATGATTTTTGTCCTTTCAAAAAAAAAAAGGTCTTGATTTTCAATATTTGGAAATCACTGTTGAATCCAGTCACAACTTAAGTCTCGAGATTAAGAACTTTATACCATTTTGACTCTTCATCACTGTTAAAATTCTAATCGTAACCTCTTAAAGTCTTTTTTTGTGTAATTGTGCATAGCTCAGATGCTGTCTCTGACAATGATTTTTTACCCTTTACCACTATTTTCTTTAAACTATGAAAATTAGAATAACATAACACAAACATAATTATATAAATAATGTTACAGAAAAAGAAGATTTCATACAATGATGTTTAGCAGGTTATCAGGGTTGGCACGAGTACATGTTACACTTACCTGTACCCTGGCATATATATGTCTGTAATATAGTTCTTTGTACAATACCAGAAATGTGTGGTCTGAAAAAAAGAAGGTTTCTATTTCTTAACATTGTAATACACTTCCAACATTTTAACCAGTATATTTCCTTGGTTGTTTTATATTTTTGGTATGCAAATGTAAAGTTTGATCAAGCTCAAGAATATGTTGGTTCTAATGAGATTCTAATTCTGCATAAAAGTTTTACAACAAAGATACTTTTTTTTTAAATATAATTTCCTGTTTGCAAATCCACCAACAATGTCTAAAGTAATTAATCAAAGCACTGTAAGCGCTGTAGGCAGTTAACCAAAAACCAAGGCAAACATAATTATGAAAACTGTGGCTATGTTGCTTCATTTTTTTTAAGATTTAAAAGAACAAACATTAAACATTCATATATTGTGCATTTATGTTCATTTAATGAATTAATTATTAAGGCAAATAATTCATATTTTATCAAGGTTTTCAAAAGCAACGCATATATCAAGTATATTTTTAATGGTCATGTGTCTGCAGTGGTACAAGTTCGAAATGATTGCAGTTGTTCTAGTTGATAGTTAACGTTGGTATTAGTTGACTGTTAGTAGTTCAAGTTGACTTAGTACGAGCTTGTAATAGTATGCATGGACTTGCTTCCCTGGAAAGAAAACTGAGTTTGTGTTCTACAGTGCAAAAGTTATGAGACACAAATCAGACAAATGTTTACTACTACGGGGATCAAAGGTGAGGTCTGACTGACCTGCCCATAGTAAATGTAAATGACCCCCGCCTTCACCCCAAGTCCATGATGTCTAAGTTTGGAATAAAATGACAGGTGATTATAATAAAGTTGGTCAAACACTCTTGGGCTTGAAAGATATGTTTTCTTTAAAATGAGCCATATTAAAATGAAATTTTTTATAGAACCAGAAATTATTCAAAATATAATTAAGGTAAATTCTTTAAACCTGCTCATTTTTTGCATCAATAAAATTTTATAATAAACAAGAAATAATTGTAACAGAATGCTGTTACGAAGTCTCCCAAACAAAGCTGCCATAATTATTCATTCCCATGGTCGCCTGACATTGGGCAAAGTCTAGTACACATTGATTAGGTCTAGTAAAGTGATATGCATATGTGATGCCTATGAGATTGACCTTGTATGTCATTCAAATCTGTTTGAAATGACGAACAGGAATGAATATGGTTTAGGAGTTGGTATCTCAAACTTTTACAAGTTCTTAAAACACACACAAGAGGGGATGGGGTGACCTTAGAGACTAACCCTATGTTTCATTTGATTTTTTATGTTGTCCCATACATGAATATATATATGGTTTAGGGGTGGGGATCTCGTCCGTTATCAAGTTTTCAAACAGGAGGGGGTGGGGTGACCCCAGTGACTTCCCCTATTTTTCATTTGATTTGTTATATTGCCAAATACATGAGTATATATGGTTTAGGGGTGGGGATCTCATCTGTTTCCAAGTTATCAAACAGGAGGGGGTAGGGTGAACCTTAGGACTCTCCCTATATTTCATTTGATAAGTTCTGCTGTCCCATACATGAATATATATGGTTTAATTAAGAGGTCGGGATCTCGACTGTTTCCAAGTTCTCAAACAGGAGGGGTCGGGTGACTGCAGGGACTCCCCTATATTTCATTTGATTTGTTATATAGTCCCATACATGAGTATATATGGTTTCGGGGTGAGGATCTCGACCGTTTCCAAGTTCTCAAACAGGATGGTTTACAGTGACCATAGGAGCTGCCCCTATATTTCATTTGATTTGTTATATTGTCCCATACATGAATATATATGGTTTAGGGTGGGGATCTCGACCGTTTTCAAATTCTCAAACAGGAAGGGGTAGAGTGGCCCCAAGCACTCAACCTATATTTCATATGATTTGTTATATTGTCCCATACATCAATATATATGGTTAAGGGGTGGATCTCGACCGTTTCCAAGTTCTCAAACAGGAGGGGTGGGGTGACCCCCAAGGACTCCCCCTATATTTCATTTCATTTGTTATATTGTCACATACATGAATATGTATGGTTTATGGGATCATTATTTTTTTGTATGCTCCAATGAACAAATTATGTCTTTAAGAGAAAGATATATACCTACATATTACACACAAAATCCTTCCCAATTGAAACTTACTGGTCTATTATCACACTGTAACGTGCCACTGCTAACAAAAGTGTGCATGTTTCTAAGACATATTGAAAAAATATTTTCATAATACAAAGCATGTTACAATAACTTCATATCCACGTTGCAATTAAGAATTTTGCAAACAAATCAACCAACTATGGTTTATTTCAATTTTATTGTATGATATCACTTATTTATTTGTTGTGTGTCTTGCTTGTAAATGTATAAGTATATATGTAATTGTTAATGTATAATTGTTATCCTCTTGTAGCACCATACGTGTGCTTAAGTTTAAATAAATTGTCTTGTCTTGTCTTGTCTTGGGATCTTGACCGTTTCCAAATTCTCAAACAGGAGGGGTGGGGTGACCGCAGGGACTCCCTCTATATTTCATTTGATTTATTATATTGTCCCATACATGAATATATTTGGTTATGGGGTGGGGATCTCGACCATTTCAAAGTTCCAAAACAGGAGGGTTGGGGTGACCCCAGGGACTCCCCTGTATTTCATTTGATTAGTTATATTGTCCCATACATGAATATATATGGTTTAGGGGTGGGGATCTCGACTGTTTCCAAGTTCTCAAACAGGAGGGGTGGAGTAACCCTAGGGACTTCCCCCTATATTTCATTTGATTAGTTATATAGTCCCATACATGAATATATATGGTTTAGGGGTGGGGATCTCATCCGTTTCAAAGTTATCAAACAGGAGGGGGTAGAGTGACCCAAAGGATTCCACCTATATATCATATGAATTGCTTACATTCAGGTATCATATAATCTAGTTGCACTATTTGCGAAAACAAAGTAAGAAACTTCCAGCTATGTTAACTGACCCTTCAAAATTGAGAAAAAAATTGCAGTAATATGTTTATACTTTAAAAGCATCTTACATGCATTATCAACATTTATCACTGATAAAGAAGATTTATACTGTCACCAGGAACATATATATTGTTAGATATACTGTTCCCAGCTGTCACATTGTATTGGATTTTGACATTAAAATTTGTCAAAAAGTAATTTTGAGTTTCTGTATCAAATATTTTTTGCTTTTTCTTTCTTTTACATATATCTTTTGGTTTCCATTTCTAGTGTTTATATTTATTTACCATGCATAGATGTATTTTGTCACCTGCCTGAAATTTTATTTGTAGTTGATCTCCAAAACCCGGAATTACCCTTATCCGCTTCCGGAATCGGACCCGATATTGTAATTGTCTACACGGCATCCATTGTTTTTCAATGTTGTTTTTGTCAGTCAGATACGATTTTACTCGAATTTACACATTACTTGTAGGCGATTATCTGCATAAAGCTAGCGGTTGAACAAAATGAACATCGCTGTCATGAATAATAAAGATGAAAATACGTTTTGAGATCGTTTATTTAGAGACTTTGGTAAAAAGGTTTGCAAAGTTATTTTTAATTTTCTTTCAAGTGAAAGGTCCGTCGGGCGTAGCTAGTAACCAAGTCGAGAGTCCGATTGCAAAAGTGGAAGGTCGCGGACCTCGGACCACCGCTAATTTGAACCCCTGCCTCCAAATTGAAAAGATACGAAAATTTCGTCTTCTAATTTGAAATTGCCGCCAACAGCATGAACAGTGGAACTTATTAATAGACTACTGACGTAGTTGTAACACGTATTGACGACAAACAATATTCCTACGACTTTTGCCATTTGGGAAATCTAAACTACTTGTCTTTAAAGATTTTCGGCGATTAAATATTTCATACAATTGTTCTTTGACATCTTTGCCAAAAGCACAGGGGATAATAAACTACATAAGGATTCCTAATGTGCTCTACTTCCTATGTGCAACTTCAAAACTTTTGGGTGGTTCGACGATCATTTAAGGTTTTTTCTGGTCATATTTTTGTAATCCAGAATTAAAAGTATGAAAAAACTATTCAATTAGTTATAAATAACATTATATCCAGCTAGATAATAACAATGGCACGTATTTCAGCATTTATTGGGTAGAACACAAATCTAGGGTGCTCGCATAAGGCAGCTTAACTGCCTAAAAATAACCCTTTTTGTTAGGGTTGTTCTCCATATGAATCATAACATTTTTCATTGCACTTGATAAGTATACATGTATTACTTGGCATACTAAAACAAGATAATAGGGTTAATTTCTACAAATCTTTACCATTCTGCACGATGGGAGCAATTATTTCTGATTCTGGCCAAGGACTTGTCTTGAAAAATCTGTCTGTCAGCTTGTTGAATCTGAAATTGTACAAAATCAATCCAGTTTACAGTTGTACATTAAGAAGAAATTTTACTACACCTGAATAAAAATTGAAAGATTCTGTTGTTTTATAATACTAAATGAAAATATCTGTTTATCGTATGTTGCATCCAAGGATCCAGAAATTTTTACGATTAAGTGTCTAATCTGGTGAAGACAATTTCATGCATATGTACAACATAGTAAAACATTGTAAAGCATACATTTAACCTGTGAAAAATTACTTTTTTCTATGTAAATTAAATCAAGTTTTAATTTTTAAATCAGAATTGTTGATTGTCTGTGCTGAAAATTAATTAAATTATGAAGAAAGTTATCATGGAATTTTATTTCTTTAAAATTTTAGTTCTGAGCTTGTGATCACTGTCAGGTGTGAATTAAAAACACAGGTAAAAAGTGATTAACAATCATAAGCCAATATTTCCATGCAGTTTATACAGTAAGAGACATACCCATTTTCATATGCATTTTGAATTTCATACAGATTCTGGTCATTTATAGCCTTCTGGAATACCATAAGGAAATTCTTGATGACATCTGGTACTATATATGAGGACGTCTGTTGGGCATATTGTCTTTCATATTCCAAATCTTGGCGTGGATCACCTTCAACAAAAAATAACATAACTTTATCAAATCATTTACCTTAAAAGTTATATGTATTTTTTAAGATAACTGATAAAATGTATCTGTTTTTGAAAAAAATTAATTTACTTGTCCTGGTATTCAAAACAATTCTGAAATGCAATTGGAACATTACCAAAAGGACTAAATATTCTGAATAACATAGAAAATTTATGGTCAACTGGTCATTCTTGCACTTTGATTCTGAGTAAAACAATATTGCACACAAGCAAACCAGAGGATAAACAAGGTAGTAGAAATTGACACTGCTTCCTTACTGCATGCATCAGAGCTGTAGGAATTTGACGAAGTATCATCAATGTTACTATATCATAAAAGGGTTATAGCACTAACATTGAGGAATATTGTCCCTCTCAGTAAATCAAATTACACTTTCAAGCTTGTGCAATAAATCTATAAAATTCTTCATTTTGACTGATCTTCTAGACATGAGTACATTTTTTTTACCATAGTGATATCAGTCAGCAATGTTTAGAATTGTTAAATGTTTTCTTTTAGATATAGTCTACTGATGATTAAATGGTCACACATGGAGGACACTTAATGTAGAATATCCAACATACCTGTGTGTGCATCATAATCAGTAGCACCTGGTGGTGGATATGCTGGATAATACTGAAATATAAACAAAACATTTTTGTGTATTCACTCTAATCAAATAAATAATCACTGGTTTAAATATGAATCAATGCATTGTATAGAAATAATTTAAGTATGTGCCATTTTGCTGTGAGAAGATGACTTAATTTACGGTTTGCCCTACTTGGAAGGATAGCTATGAATGATTATGTCTTATGACAACAGATATTGGTGTGTTATAGTTAATACATCATTTTGTTTATAATTTAATGTAGATTTACGACATATATGTAACAAGTTTAAGTGGGATGGACAACCATCGAATCAAAATACACTGAAGGTTCGCGATCAAGTGTCATTTCTAAAAAAATGCGAGTTGGGTACCTTGTGTAATATAAAGGTATATAGGTATTTTTTTCAGAGACAAGTGTCTGTGTTCCTTTGGGAGTGGATATGCAATTCTCATGTTTGGGCAGGATAAAAAAAAATATACTTAAAATCAACAAATGAATATCACGAGTAAGATAAAGATGGGACTAATACCGGATTATCTTTTGGTCAAAGATTTGAGTCTATTTATAGTTCTACTGGGATGCCGGGCGGTCAATGAGTTAAACAATATGATGGTCTACTCTGCATTGATCGAATCAGTAATGTCATTCATATACATTTAACACACACAAACAACCTGTGTAGATTCTATATACAACAGCTTTTCTTAAAAATACTCATATTTACTTCAGGAGGAGCAAAAGATGCTGGTGGTTCGTCACTCCACATGTTTGGAAAAAAATCTCCGCAGAGTTGTCCTTTGTAAAGTAAAAGAAAAACAAAGTCGGACACCGGGGTACATGACAACTCGTACCTTTGCAAACTCGTACTTTTAATACTAACATGAATAGACTATAGTCAAACATTATGTACAGCTAAATTACTGCAAACAAACTTCTGTGTATGAGAAAATATTGTGATCATTTTAAAATATATGTTAAAAGTTACAGTAGTGTAGAAATTTTTCATTCCATAAAATCTGGGTCTAATCTTCTTTAGGTAAGACATTATATGTTTCTGGGTATACAATATTCCATCGACATCCGATGATAAAATAGTGTCGCATACGTGGACTATTTATAAAATTTATCCCAATTTAAACAAAATATAATTATTTAGTGCAATGAAAATAACAAATTTGTGATTAAAACTATATACAATCATAATTTATGCTATTAAATAATAGTACAGAGACGTGACATCAAGAATGAGCTGTTCCCTGAAGCTATCAACTGATGGTACCTGAACAAGTACCAAAGAAAAAGTAGAAGATCTGTTATATGTTAACGCTACTGGATATATTAAAGCTTAAGCTAGATCTGCACAAGTATTTCCTTCAACAGGTATAGCGCGGAACAACCACACTGACTCGCGCTATACCTGTTGAAGTATTTTTTTCTGAGTTAATAGACAATGGTAGATGAGTCTCGTCCATATTCCATATTTTTTCAGGCTGGACTACTCATTAGTTCCTGCTTTGTTCCTCCAGTGTATTCAGAAACAGTTCATCCCGAGGAAGAATATTGGCAAGGGCCAGTTGTTGAAAATATAGAATTAAATCAGCTGAGCAATATTCGTTCTCTCATGAAAATTGGAATCCCAGTCTCCTATTATAAAAATAAGGAGATGTGGTATGATTGCCAATGAGACAACTATCCTCCAAAGTTCAAATGAAGTGAAAGTAAGCAATTATATATAGGCAACCATACAGCCGTCAACAATGAGAAAAACCCATACCGTATAGTCGGCTATAAAATGCCCCGACATGAAAAATATGAAACAATTCAATTAAGAAAACTAACGGCCTGATTTTTAACAAAACATTTTACGAAAAACAAATATGACAGAAATGAACCAACGACAAACACTGAACTACAGGCTCCACCCAATTATACAGATGGTAAATCAGCTGAGCAATATTTGTTCTCTCATGAAAATTGGAATTCCAGTTTCCTAACCAAATCATACAGATGGTAAATCAGCTGAGCTATACTTGTTCTCTCATGAAAATTGAAATTCCAGTTTTCTTACCCAATTATACAGATGGTAAATCAGCTGAGCAATACTTGTTCTCTGATGAAAATTATAATTACACTTTCATAATCCAATTATAAAGATGCAAAGTCATTGGAAATTGACTCTTATCTAAGCTTAATCCATCACCAATTTCATAAACCATCGGTCATGTAAATTTTCTAACCCTGAAACTTGACCGAATGTGAAATTGTGAAATTAAAACAAGTCTCCATGACAAAGAATGGACAAGACTGTTTTATAAATATCACATACATTAAAGAAATAAAAAAGCACAAAAGGACAACACTAAAAACTAAAGAAAGAGCAACACGAACCCCTTCAAACAAAACTAGGGGCGATCTCAGGTGCTCCGGAAGGATAAACAGATTCTTCTCCACATGTGGCACCAGTCGTGTTATTCATGTCAGTACAAACCCGGTGTTAAGTCTATTTCGATTGGTCACATTCGAGGAAAAGAGGACGGGATTGTGGTTACGACAATTGCGATATATCCATAGTCATCTGTGAAACAAATATACCATAACGGTCAACCAATTTGTGATGGCGTCCGTAACATTTTTGAAGGGATGATTATAACTTCACCACCTGGAACTTTTGGTTTAATTGCTTCCTAGTAAGCAACAACCCTCTATCAAGGAAATCATGTTAGGAAATGCAAGCTCTGCATGGAATATCATATCAATTGGAAGATACTCCATATTAAGGCGCTGCTAGAAAGTTGCTACTTAAAAATGAAAATTTCACAATTGGGAAGCTGAAATCATCTCTTTTGTCGTAAAGATTTGTTTTTTAACCGACCCTCATTGTCAATTTCTAGATGCAAGTCAAGATATGAGGCAGACTTAACTGTATCTGTTGTATGCTTTATCTCAAGTTGGATAGGATAGATGCGTTCAACATAGTCAACAAATTTTGAATTATTTAGTGAGAGAACATCATCTATATAGCGAAAAGTGAAGTTAAAAAATACTGCTAACTTTCTTCCTAAGAAGTTCCTGTATGAAGTCAGCCTCATATGAATAAAGGCAATTGTCACCAAAAAAAGAAAAACACGACCTCCAAACGTAACAACTATGTTGTCAACCAAGAAATCAAGCATCTTGATAATGTCAATTTCAGAGAATTTTTTGTATGAATCGGAGTGATTTTTTACAAAGTACGATTTATCCCTCCCAAAGACAAGATACTTGTATTTACGTTGGCCATTCGTTTCTATGAAACAAAGCAGAACCAATTCTGTCATTTTGTCTTTTAGTTTGGAAAGGGTAATACTTTGAATTTTTTAGTATTCACATCTGATTCCAGCCGCCCCTAGAGTAGTTAGTTTCACAATAACCTTGAAGCTCGACTTTTATTACTGGTAAAATTGATTTTAGTAATTTAGAAAGAGGTTCGTGGATCACTTGGAAGACCCAGCAATATAACGTTGTATGTAATGATACTTATGTAATTTAGGTATCCAATACAGTGAAGGAAGCCCAGTTTTTCACCTTTGGTTGAACAGACCGATAATTATTCAGGATTTCCTCCTTGATTAGTGTCGTCGGGGTATATGTTGAGTTTCGCAGTGAGTTGTCCTAATTATACACAAATTCTTTATCAAGCAGTTTATGTAATGTGATTTACACACATCAACGATGTTGTTTTTGGGTTTATCTGCAGGGACAAAAAACATATTTGTCACGAAGGTAAGACAGATACTTAGCAACATTTTGCTCCCTAAAGATCGATGTAGCATGTGTATTCATAGAACCATTGATTCAGTTAATTATAAATTGAATAAACGACCACACAGCCTTTTAAAACCCGATCAGAATGAGTATCTACGTCTTCTTTTTCGCTCTTAGCCCATTTCCTGGAATAATCCTCGACTGAATCCATCAGTATTTTGAAGTTGTATTTCCAATTGATGGATTTAGGCTCACGAAATTTCGGCTTTTTAATTACACATTTCCCGGATAAATGTTATTGGTAATATTCAAGTCACCAGTAATAACGTGAAATATATATATGTTCTGGTGCATAGCATTGTTTCAAGTTTATTGTTGCTTTCCAGATCTCGCCAAAATAAGCTTCAAAACTGCTCCAGCCTATGATGGTATGATATTTACCAATGTCTAGTTAGGAATACATCGAAACTCCAATGTTGATTAGTTGTTGTCGTTCCTTTGCAGATTAATGTATATTGCTCTTCTAGCATGGCATTTTCATGATAATTTTGTTGTTACTTGACCTTTCAGATCTGTCATTGCAGGAAGAAAGATTATACAAGTAAAAGAAGATTTGCTACTTTGTTAAGGAAAATTAGTTCATTAGTTTCCAGGACATATTGTCTTTCTAGAGACCTTTTCAAATTGTCATTTTCAACGAGAAGATAGAGCGAAACAAGCTAAGAACTTCTTTGGGAATTTCTGCCTGAATACGAATCCACAGATAGGTATAGAGATGAATATTCAATCCTAACTTTTGAATCTCAGTACAAAATAACGGAGGGAACTAAAGATGAGAAATGTTTTTAACAAAATTGTATCACCCGTCGTTATACAAGATTAAAGAATCAGAAAATCCAAACAAAACAAAAGATGAGAAAAGAGAACCTTTAAGAAAAGTGGTTGCTTCAACACAAGGAACTGGGAAAACAACAAAAGAAGGGAAAATGAATACTACAAAGTAAATACAAGGTAACTAAAGAGAGATAAAAAAGAAATCTATGCAAAAGACTAGAATAATAACTAAAAATATGAGGTCAAACATATTAAATCAGTCCTTGGCACAATTTATAGCAGAGAGAAAAATCAAGTTAGTATCCATTCTTTACACCATAATTCTCAGAACATCTGACAACATGGTGATGTATAGAATTTGTACCACCAGTTACAAAATCAAATGAAGGAAATGCTCCTGGGAAGATGATTAAAAGCAATTGAAAACCAAATGGTTTATGATATGCGTATTCAAACAGAATAGTCTACACACATGGCTCTATAAATAATGTACTACAACCAATACCTGTATTAATTCAGAATGGTCTCATATAGCCCTGTATTATATACAGCCGATTCTAACGCAAAACCTTGTGCATATTACACCAATAACCAACATGTCACCCTAATGCATTGTACGGAGAGGAACACCAACAGGAATTGACAACCCTTCTGTTGCAACAAATGCTGCAATGCAGAACTCACCGAAGAGACATTTATTGTCGGAATGTGCATCTGATGCAGTAAAATTGGTACCGTTAATGTTATTGCATACCAACCATGACCATGATAACACATAAGCAGTTAATATGCATCAAGCTCATGGTTATATCAGTCCACATATTGTCAATAGGCAACACAACTCAATATTTCACTACATAGAACTGAGGTAAATATATATCTTTATTAAATGTAACATCTAGGACCTGTTCGCCATAACTGCACATATAGAACTCCGGGAACATCAAAGCCATACATATACCAAAAAGAGAAGAAAGTAAACAAATTCATAAACTACATATAAAAATATAGGTAAATAATATTACTCGAGTAAAAAAAAACTACAACAATAGAGTAGAAAGTCGGCAACGTTACAGGCCAACATTAGAAATCTTTAGATAGAAATTATTGCCAGTCACATTTAAAGGTGAATGACAAAAAGAGCACCACCATATATATCAAACATGCAATGATGAACAATGTACGTTACAAGGGAGATTAATCAATACTTCAAATCAGA